CGCCGGGGCGGGACCGGAGCCACGTGGACGCGCCGAGGCTGCTCGGGGGAAGTTTCTGCGAGCCGGACGAGTTCGGGTGGTTCTACGACGTGGCGATCTCCGACGGATCCGTCTTCTCCGGCGCTGAGGTGGCGGTGGAGAGGGGTTTCTCGGTGGAGGAAGAGTCGTTGTTCAGCGATCTCGGAGATCTGCCGGATTGCGCGGCCGTTTTCCGGCGGAGAACGGTGGCGACGGAGGAGCAGAACCGGAGGTGCGATTTCGGGGCGGTAGGATTCTGTGATAGTTCTAGATGATCGGAAATAAAAGGTCTGTTGCTTTGTAAAGTATGTTACTTTTTCTCCAATATTATTCATCAAATTCCTTTCGGAAATGGCTATAAATGTCGAGGAAAGCCGAAACCGAAGGATTCCTCGAGCGTACGGACGACAGAGAGTAGCTCTAAGTTGAAGAGATCGTCGACAGTCATGTCGCCCACCGGCGGTGCTTCTGTCTCTTTCTTACCCTCGCAGACGACGGACCTGCAAACTGGACACTGCCCTTTGCTCTTCAGCCATGGAACTATGCAATCTTCATGAAACATGTGTTTGCAGGGAGTAATCATCACAGTTTCCTTGGGCTCGAAGTCTTCAAGACACACAGTGCATCTCTTCCCGTCTTCATTGTCTGAATCCATGGTGGTGTCTGCGAAGCTTTGTCGTCCTCCTCCTCCCCTGTTCTGGTTCCTGTAGTATAAGCTCAGGTTTCTGAGGAGCTGGCTCTTCGGGGCGGGATTGTACGTCTCTTTGGTTAGGTTTTTCAGGACATCGTCTTCTGAGAAGCTTGCGCTGGCCCATGGCCTAACTGGTCGGGGAATGATGGCAGGCCTCGGTCTCTCGCTCTGCAGGCCATTGTTGGCACGGATGGGAATCTGCCTCGGCGGATTTGAAGGTCCGGGATCTCTGCAAGACAGTTTTTCAACCGGATTCTTGAGGTCCATAACCAGTTTTTGTCACCCCGAGTAACAACGGCTCGATTTTTCCGATAAGAATCAAAGAGCGAGAGAGCGATTACATACATAGTTGAACTGAATGGCCCCGAGTATGCGCCCCACGGTTCCAAGCGTCTGTTACCAATCTGAACGAGACATAAAACACGAGTTACGGCTAAAGCTGAAACACTGTAAACAGACATTCTTACATGAAAAATAACTCGCCGGATCAGTTCTGGAGAAAGAGTTCCTGGGATAGAAAGCAGGCAGCTGCCAACCAGAGAACCGAGTCTCGGGAAATGCGGAATAGCGGTTCCTTGTGTTGCTCATATTGGTTCAGAAGATTATTCAGCCAAACTGAAGGTAACCCTTTGAGAAATCTGAGAGCTTTTCTTGCTTTTATACGATTCTTTCTCCACTTAGTTGATGCCCACAAGCTGATAAATGAAGCAAGGAATCTGTTCTTCAAGTGTGATGGGATGTCTCCTCTCCAGCAGAAGCAAGTATTGTTTTTTTTTTGTTTCCTCGCTCAAAAGTGTAATGCACACAACACAATGAATGATGGAATATTCCATCATCAAACACTTTGGGACCCAATTTCATGATCCTATAGTGAATGCCAATAGAGGAATCAATACCAAGTCTTTATAACAGCGGATTCATCTGAGGAAAGAATCTCAAACCTCGGGTTACAAAAAAAAGAAGGAAATTTCAAGCAACAAAATATTATCCCAACAATGTACTGGATTAATCTGAGTGAAGATTAACAATACATTCAATTCATGAAGAGAAGCAACAGAGTTATGACAGAAGCATTGTTCACCTGTGTATCGGATTTCTAGGCTTCCCTTAACATAAATTTTTAGACCACGTAAATCCTAAAACCCGATCCTATCGAAACCCTGAAAGAGTTGACATGGAATTTAAGTAGGCTCCATCTTGAGTCTGCTTCTCCTGTCAAGTGATTCAGACAGATCACTTAGAAGCTGTCGATGTACGTCAAGATGACCAGACCAAAACGGAAGTCGAAACTGTAAAGAAAGTGCAAGAAGATTACCTTTATCGAGTGATGGAAACTTTCATTATTAGTGATTGATTGCTCTCCAGGCACATATGTATCTACTTGCTCATTGTTGAAGATAAGTAGAAGTTCCAGAATATGGAGGCCACGGACATGAAAGCTACGCGGGCTTGAAGAGGCACTACCCTGTTAATATCTCTTTCTGTCAGACCTCTTTTGTGGCATACACATTATTCACACCATAGCGAGAGAAGATTATGATTTGATTAGTAAAATAGCATTCAGAAAAAAAAAATTCTCAAACAATTGCTAGAATAAGTTCAAAAGAAACTAGCCAGTAGCACCGTTCTGTTCATCAAATCAAACATGCATCCTTCACTAATCATCACATCATACATATGGATTCATTTATGACACGAGAACGGGGGATGTTGGTGAAGCATAAGAGAGAGAAGCAAAAGGATAGAATCCATACCAAAAGTTAAGTACGCTAACGGGAATCCAGAATCGAAAGCCTGCAATAATTCCGGAAACCCGTCAATATATATACAGAACAACAGTTAATCTAACCAGGAAAGATAACATTGTTTCTTAAGCGTCTCACCAAACAGAAGGGTTGGAAGAGCATCTTTCTGATACTTTGTTCCAAGCTCAGAAAGCTTCCCTAGCCAAAGGTTGTTCCACGCAAAAATAACAGCGATCACTGATGGACCAAGGACTACTTGGTTAAGCACAACCTGACAGGGAGCGACATAAGCAGTAAAATTTCCCCAGAAAAAGACATGTACGTTCAAGTACTAGTAACATAGAACTGCTGTAATTATAGTACCTTAAGCATTACATTCCCCACGGTTGGTTTTGGCAAGCAATGATCAAGGTACTGATACCATGCATAAGAACCAGGACCATACAAAAGAAACCCATAGGAAGCCATCCTTAGTGCACGAATCCAATCGTGTTCTAAGAAAATGTTCCACAGTTCGCCCTAGTGAAAGATCCAGCCATAAACGCTTAGTCAACACCGATAATACAAATGAAAGAACATTATTTAGTGTATTGTAATAAATTCATCTGGTCCACAAGATGTGGATATTTCGAATTTTAGTTTGGATTGGTTAGAGGAACAGAGGATGAACGAGCGGTCACAAAAAAGATTTTAACTCAGACAATCTTAACAAGACATTATCGATCAACCCTTCAGGTTAAACCTCTAAAATCCAATCTTCAACTACATAATTCGAACCCAATGGCAGGATGAACTTGTTCGAACTTGAACATGCATTCCGAAAGTACTTTGAAGGCACATCGCCTTCTCCGGAACCCAATAACGAAAAACCAAGGAAAAAACAGAACGAACCTCGTCAGAGCCAGAAACACCGGAGACACAAGACGATTGCATAAGTGCTTGTCTCTTTTTCCAACCCGCAGAGATCTGAGCGATTGTGTCGCCGGTTAGAGTGAGAAAACCCGCCGTTAGGGCTTGCTTCAAGGGGAAGCGGTAACCGGAGTCACTCCTCACCTCGACGGAATCCGACGAACCCGAATTCGGTCGTTTGCTTCTCTTTCCGGAAGAGTCGAGCCTTCTCCGGCGACAGAATTCGCTCCATCCCCATAATCCACCGGCGCCGCCGCTCAGTGCGTCCATTTACGTCGCGATGGCGATTTCTCGGGAAACGATAACCACAGTGCCACACGCTTTTAAGGGCATCGTTAAAACGTTGTCGTTTAGTTAAAAGATCACAAAATATTTTTTTATTTTTTAATTTACGCGCAAAAAGGGGGAAAAAAAGAACGAGGAAAAAAAATTAGGCGACAAAATCGCTTGTTAGTTGTTTTTCTCTTCCGGGAAGAAAAATTCTTTTTCCGATCGTCGAAGGAATCCATCGTTCCGTCGCTTTCTCCGATCAATCATCGGTCCGAATTCTCTTACTCCAGTGGTAAGTTTCTTCGATTTCGAGTTTTTTGTGTTTGGTTTCTTCCATATGTTGTCTCTGATGTGGAATTGGGTGTTTCTTCTGTGAATCGATCAAAACGAGGAGTTGAAAGGATCGGGAGCTAGATTTGTTTGATCAGTCTGTGATGTTTGTTCATATCAGATTTCGATTGCTCTAGTTTGGTTCACGTCGATCTGTTTTGGAAACTGATGAATTTCTCTGGATTTACTTCGGTGATTGCTGAGAAATTGATGAATTTATATTGGGGAATTGACATTAAGGTCTGTTTTGGTTCGAAAAACTGTCGAGGAAGAAATTCAGCCTGGCTTTATATTCGTGCAAAATCACTATGAGTTCGAGCTTATCCGTGTGGAGGTTGCTCAACAAATTCATTAATTTGTTTCTCTATCTTACCTTATTTGGTCATTATATCATGTTTTGTGATAGTTCACATTGAAGTATTTGGGTATATATTTGGATCTTAAAGGAACAGCCGCCATGGTTTTAGAGATGCAGCACAAGCAGCCTCAGCCGCCGTCCCTTGTCGAGCTTTGCATTACAACAGCCATTGATAATGTGAGGTTCATCGGATACGTTGGTGGGATAGATTTTCAACTCCTTGACCAAATTTTACCACATTGCACTGTAGAACAGTTAATGCATGTGGAGGATTGTACTGAAGTAAGATGTGCTCTTCACCCAGAATCTTCGATATTTGTCGCCAATTTCTTTAAAGGAATCTCAATTTATGCTTACATGTTTCCTTTTTTTTTTTTCAGGACACGGATCTTAGTCCAATCACCAATAAGTTGTGGAAACGATTCTATGAGAAGCAGTTTGGTTATGAGAAAATGAAAATTGTCATTGAGAGGATGAAGCAGAACAGAGTAACTTTCAAGTGGAGACATTTATACGAGGTGCTTTTGTCTTCTCGGTCCCTCAGTAGTTACATTTCCACGTGAGTGATTATTGATGAACTTATATGCTCATGATTGATCGTAGGCCAAGTTGAAAGATGTGGAGCAAGATGAGAAACGAGCTGCGGATCGACTTAAACAACTTTATGACAACGAAGTTGCAAGTATGGTCTTTAATGTTTGACTTTTTGTTATTATCTGTAGACCTAGTTTTGTTTATGCTTCAGACCCTCAGCCTCATATTTCTAAATGCGTTCCTCAGTGCCGAGTGTTTAACAGATCTTCGTGGATAAAATGCTCAGGCATCATTCAGTCGATCCTCTCGGAGCTCGAGTTTTGTCCATTGCTGATTTAATCCAGTAGTTTCCTAGCCAACTTTTGTCCATCCTGCATTATGTGTAAATGTTTTTAAATTCCTTTCAGAGAAACAAAATCGGAAAACTAAGCTTTGCGCGAAAGTTCCTCCCAGCGGCAAAAGAAGCTTTTGGGGTAACTCTTCTTTAGTTTTAACTGGCAAATCTTGCTACATAATTTAGGACGGCTTCGAATGTCTGGGTTTGTAGCAAATGTTTGAACTGGAAAATTATGTCTTTGCAGCTAATGGACCTGGTTACAATCTTTCCAATGTGAAGAGCAACATCATGAAGAAAGCAAAGTCGGATCTCTTAAAGAGGTTACTATTGACTAACTGCATAAGAGGATATTTTGGCATTTCATCCCTCCTTGAACAGTGTATTCTTAAGCATGAATCCAAGATATATATGCCAATGGCCGAACCCTGACTTAGTTTTCTTTCTGTAATTGTCTTATGGAAACAGTCAAGAAATGAAAAATCTTGCGGCGATGAAGAGAAATGCAGTTCAGAAGAGTTTCAGGTAACAAGTAGTCAGCTTTCTGATTATCTATTTTCTTGATATCTATCCTTCAAACCGTCGAACTAATTCTCTCATTTGCTCGTCTCATGTTTTTGTATCGTGTAGTATCAATGCTCCAAAGAGGAGCAGTTCTTCCACTTCGACACCGGGAAATGCTTCGTCTTTTAGCAGTCCTCCAAAGAGGAGTAGCCTTTCTTCTAAGGCTCCTTCAACGTCAAGAACACAGCAACCGGGCAGGAAGATAATGTAGAAGTCTTTCCATTTACATGGAAATCTATCTCTACTTCAAACTTTCAGACACCAAATGACAAAATCTCTCTCTTGTATTGGTCATTCCAATTTCCAAATGTAATGAATGAATCTTCATTTTTGCAATATAATAAAGTTTATTGCTTTCTACTTGCTGCTAGGCAGGAGGAACCTTCAATAATTTCACACCAAAAAAACAGCAAAACACATTGTCATTTGAAGGTAATGAAGAGAATCTCTCAATAAACAATAAGTGATTATACATCAACCCTTTTTATTTGATGACACAAAGGAAACAGGCAACAAAAGCCAGAGAGAGAGAGAGAGCAGACAGACACAAACTCTAGAAGATAATGTCTTCATCCCTCTCTGCTCCTCCAACGAGCAAGTTGTGAGCAGCGTTCATGGAAATGCCTCTCTTCAATGCCATATCCTCCAAGACCTTCTCCTCCGCATATGCCTTGGCAGCTTGCACTTGCCGCTCGATCTCTCTCTTCTTGTAGCCCTGAATCTTCTTCAACCTGAAGAAATCCTCCCTCTCGAGCTCGTCCAGCTCGCCCTTTATGTAGCTGATCGTGTTCTCCAGCCTCGGCTTGACCACGTTCTCAAGGGCATTGACCCTTCGGTTTGTTGTCTTGATGGCCTCATCCAGCGTCAAGAACGACGTCTGGAGAGAAGCGAGCTCCACCAGAACTTCTATGGCCTTCACATACGCGCCCCGGCAGGCCTGGACCTGCTGACCACCTCTTGCTAAACCTGTCAGATCATTCTTGGTCTCGCCTTCCGAGAAGTGCTCAAACTTGGGAAGTTTGACCCCGGCGATGTTTTCTTGCCGGGAACGGACCCTCAGCGAGGCTTCTTTGACGTTCTCGAGGACAATGTGTTTGACGTTCTCGCCTGCTACGTACTTTGCTTCGGTCAGAGCAAAGGAGGATGTCTTCATAATGTCTCCCATGGATTCCTTTGCAGAGACGATTTTCTTGAGAAGTGCCCGGAACTGGACGGTGAGGGCATCGCTCTTCTTCTTGAGGAGAGCATGACCTCTCGTAGCCCCGACAAGACGGGCTTTCATGACCCCGAGCATCGTAACGGTAGGAACCACGGTCAAGCGTTGGTTTTGGCCAGACATCTTTCCAACTCACTGCAGCGATACGAATTACACGGCAATATCAATTCCCCGAGACAACGCCTCTCTTGTACAACAATACTTACATAAACAAAGACAAGATCTAAAGACTTCATCCTGTTTCTTATTGACTCAAGATCTATAACTACAGCTCCACAGCAGATATTTGACTGTTTGGCTGTCTATAGGCAAACCTCACATAAATCTAGTCTGATAGACACTTGCAACAAATTGTTCTAAACATAAAACATGAAAAACCATCGACTCCATAACGCAGTGACAGGCAAAGCTTCTAAGCTAAGATAAAAAGGACAGCTTTATGAACAAACTGATGTACTTTCTTAAAGTAAACAATGGCAAAACATATTGAATGTCATTGCCAATCCTTCAACCAAACTGGCTAGAAACAAAGATTCTCTAATGTCCCACCGCCCAAAAGATTTGGCTTAACAAATACATTCTCAACTCTTTCGCTTAGGAATAAGATCAACGATTCGAATCACAAACCCTCACAAGTAATGCAATGATTGTGCATAGTGTTCTCTATCGTCAAAGCAGCGTAAGTGCTCGACGGATATTGAATCGAGTTATCGACTTTGCACATCTCAATTTTCACAGAGTGATCTCCCTAAAACATCAGAACTTGCACAACGCGACAATACACAATCGAAGATCGAGATCGGAGGATTATTGAATATACAAATATAATTTAAGGATTGTACTTTAAATTCTTCAGAAGAATCAAGAGCCATCCAATCCATTCCCGAAATTCAGAAACTCGCATCTACACGAGAGAAAAGAAGGAAGACGTCGTGAACGCAACAACATACCTCGGCTTCTTCAGGAGCGTGAAGCAACGAGACGGATCCCAAAAAGAGAGAAGAGAGACCAGGGGGATCTGTCTGAAGAAAGCGCAGATTTGGGCAAATTTCCAGATCTGTACGAAAGACAAGTGGTTTTGTCTGAGAGGAGAATGATCGCTCGAGTGGCGTCGATGAACGTGGGTGGAGGGGAGGGGGCAGATGTGTAAATAGTTGAAAACCAAAGGGGTTAGTTTAAGACGGCTCTCATATGATTAATTACATTACAGCTTTAATTTAAAGTGGGCCCTGTTTTCGTCTTGCTGATGGGGTGGACGGGTTGGATACTCGACAAAATGAGGGGATTTGGATTTGGATTAAGAATGTCCGGTTATTTAATTATAAGATTTGTATTTAAAATTTGATATTTACGAGTACTTGGAATATGGGTATCCGGAATAATAGTCAGATATTCGCAGGTATCTAGATCTGAATTTGTTTAAAAATAATAATAATATTTATATATAAAAATTTTAAAATATAAAGATATATTTATAAAAATTGATGAATTACGATAAGAATATGAGATAATAAGGGATAAATAATAATAAATTTAGTTTTTTTAAGATAATATTAAAAAATATAAAATTATTTAACCTAAAATAATTATATTTTATAAAAATATTATATAAATATAAAATATAATTATTTATAATTATATTAGTCGGATATCTGTCATATCCGATTTTAAAAATTTTATTAGTTGGATTTAGATTCGTATTTACGAGTATTGAAAAATTCGGATTTGGATTTATATTTGAAAATTACGAATAACCTAAAATTGGATATGTGAGAGATGAATATGCAATAAATATCCGATTTTCAGGTATTTATGTCCTGGATTTCTCATTGTTAGATCTTTATAGTCCCATGTGAGCCCCCAAATATTGGACGGCGGAGAATACTCCCACGTTGTTTTGGACAGCACAGGACATTGAGCTTATGCGACCTTGTAGTTTTACTCTCACCATGTCGTCATCATCATCATCATCATCATCATAACTTCAATGGAGAAAGCGTTGAAATCTTCGCATTCAATATTATATATATAATCTTTATTAATTTGCTGCGAGAGTTTTGCTTATCCACGGAGTCAGTCACTTCCCCACACAAAACAAACATGAAAGAGAGGACCTTTCATTTCTTCCTCCTTTATTCCTTTGGACAAAACCTTCCGAAACCAAAACCCTAAATCCCAGTACCGGCAAGACGCCTCCTCGATGCATTCGAGACTGAGACTTGGCCGAGCTTGTCGGCCTTGCCGTCCGACTCATTCGACAACGTTCTCTCCCTCACGGGCATGTAGTGTCGGAGCCACACTCCTGTGTAAACCTGCACACACCCGCCAACACGCGCAAGAAAAAAGGTGCAAACTTTAGCTTCGAAACGATTTTATACGATCTTTTAGCATATGCCCGTCTTGTCTATAAGAACCTGTTGAGGCCTCATGATCTTGGTGTCGGGATCATCCAATGATTCACGCCAGTGGGATAAGTATCCAGCCATTCGGGGGATCGCAAATAAGACGGTGAAGAATTCCGGTGGAAATCCCATTGCTCTGTTTTTGAACATTCCCGAGTTAATGGCATTGTTATCGAAACGAGGCTTTGAAAGGAAGATATGAACACAAAATCCGGATTTATCATTTACCTATATATCAATCCAGAGTAGAAATCGACGTTAGGGTAAAGCTTTCTCTTGACAAAGTAATCGTCTGAGAGAGCTGCCTTCTCAAGAGCAACAGCTACCTGCAAATCATCAGATCCTTATATATCTGATCCCTTCTAAGAAGATCGTGAGCTATTCACTGGACAGAACAGGTTTCAAAGTTATTTTCTAAGAGAGATTTAATATTAAATGACACGAGATATATACCTCAATCAGAGGATCCCTTCCAACAATAGAAAACACTTCCTCTGCCAGTTTCTTGATGACTTTTGCTCGGGGATCATAGTTTTTGTAAACACGATGTCCAAAACCCGACATCTTCCTCTTCCTGGACGTACATTGGTATATGGTTAGGATGACCGACCAGAAACTCAAGTAACTAGTGCTTCAAAATCTAAGTTACCTGTTCTTCACGCCCTCGATGAACTCTGGGATATTTTCAACGGTTCCAATCTCCGATAACATCTTTAACACAGCCTGTTGGCATCAAAGACAAAGTATTTTCACAAACCCAATAACATGTGAGCACAAAAAGAAGAAAAAAAAAATTGGTCCTAGTTTAAACCTCATTTGCACCACCATGGAGGGGACCATATAATGCACCAACAGCTCCAGCCACAGCAGTGTACACATCAACACCACTGCAAGAAACGACACGATTCAGTAAGATAGCTCTTAGCAGACACATCATCATGCCCAAACCAAAAGAGATGTACCTGGAAGCAAGATGCCTGGCGGCAGCAGTGGAGCAATTCATTTCATGTTCAGCGTGCAGTATAAAAAGGATGTCAAGCACTCGAGCCAGTCGAGGATTAGGTTTGTAAGACCTATTGCCCCTGTAATCATTTGAAAAATAGAAACTTGTTGGGTCAATGATTTCAGAAACTAAGCAACTTTTCAAAATGACCAATGCTACCTATGAATGGGTTTAGGATAGACAAATCAGACATAAAAATCTTAAACATTGTTGATGATCCTTTAAAGCCTCCAACCAAATTAAGAGGAATGTGATAGTGGGCACGTACATGGAATCCAGCATATAGAGGAAATTCTCTGCGTAAGAAAGGTTGCTAGAAGGAAGAACTGGAGGCCTTCCTGCCATCCTCAGATACGCTGCTGCTGCAATAGTTGGTGCCTGCAAACACATTCGAGTTCATAAGCACGTTGCAAATCTTTAGTCCAAAACCCACATTTAAATTCAAATACATTTACACATTTTGGGAGAAAAAAAAAAGTGAATACTAAGACACAAGGAGAAAGCAAGAAAGCAACAAATGGAAAAAAAAAAGGAAAACATACCTTTCCAAGAATGCGGACAATCTGTTTGTCTCTAACTTGTTTGGACTTGTAAATATCTTGGCCCTGCACCCATTGTGAAGTCCCCAGAAATCAATAAATAGACTAAAGCATGGTATATTCATATGGCCAGTTTCTGAAAAGCTCATCTTAACAACACCGACAACAAAATTGCAGACATGTCATTAGACAAGAAGTCAATCCCAACTTACCCTAAGAGCAGGGTTTGCATCAGGATGAAAGATGGAAAGTGCACTCATTGCACTAACAAGAACTCCCATTGGGTGAGCATCATGAGGCATAGACTGTATAATATCCTACAAAAACATTCATAATAAACACCGAGTCAAAAACAAAAGTATCTTTTCACCAAAAGCATCCTTTTCACAATCGCTAGTACGTTCATCACATATCTACAGCTCAAGATCTCTAAGTTGAGTTCAGAACACTCAATCAGCATTAAACTTTGTTTCTGTCCGATCAACTCAAACGTTTTATAATGGTCGAACAGTCAGGCCATCACAATCACATACACCTCCAGTAGACAACTACGCTCACAAAGGAGCGAAATCCGGTGCTGGCAATACAAAAACACAAGTCAAACATACATGCAAAAAGCACAGCTAGGGCCAAAGTCCGGTTTTAAAATTCAGATTTGTACTTGAATCATACAATGTCTCAAATGAGTATTAGTATAAAAATCCATCCAAGACAGAGCAAAGCTCACCAACACTCCTTGTGGCACAGCTGAATGCTGAGAAACTGCAAACTCCCAATCGGCAAGCTGACTTTCAGAAGGCAGATTCCCATACACTACCACAGCAAATATAAAAATCAAACCTCGGACTGAGAACTAAAGAAGAAACAAATATATTTTAACCCAGGCTAAGTTCCCTCCTCCACACGAAATATTACAGAACCAGGACGACAATACTTAATTCCAAGGATAACAGTGAAAACATGATCAAACATAAGCTGCCCCTCAAACTTTACACCCCAAAAGCAGTAGGCAACAGTATCACGGCAAAGCTAAAACATGAGCTATACTCACTGAGGAGATAAGCAGCCTCCAGAAAAGTGCTGCTCTCAGCCAACTCCTCAATTGGGTATCCTCGATATCGGAGGATGCCTTCATCTCCGTCGATGTAAGAAATCGAAGACCGGACAGGAGCCGTGTTCAAATAACCAGGATCGTATAACTTAAGCCCTTTGTCCTCCTTATCCGTCGTTATCTGCCGACCAAACACGCAACAACCCAAATAAGCGAGACTAAATACAACCAACCCAGCTCAAAATTCTTCTCATTTACGTGGAAAAATAGGTAACACCGATCGAAAATCGGAGCGAAAACATCAAATTCACTGCTTATCCACCACCCATGCTCCTCGCACCCAAAAACACAAAATTTTCAGCTTCCAGATTAGGATCGAACATACCTTCTTGAGATCAATGGCTTTAACGGTACCTTCTTCGGAGACCGGCACCTGATATGTCTTCCCCTTGCGTTCGTCGACGATCGTCAGTGTCCCCTTCAAGGATCCATGCGGTGCAATGTTCGCCGACGTGCACCATCGCTCGATCGCCGAAGATCCGATCGGCTCAGCCGTAACCAAATGTGCCGACAGAACCGCCAATCTAGCTTTCACACTTTCCGAAATCTCCATTGTTGCGGAACAAAAATATCAAAACCAGAAGAAGGAAATGGAAAGAGAGTGAAGAAACAAACGAAGCAAGACATTTACTTTATTTCGTTCTTATTTATATCCTTACGACAAGTGAATTCTCTGCGGGCAAGAGTATGTGAACAAGTGACGTGTTGAAATTCTAACGGTGAAGATGAAACGTAATCAACGGTTAAGATTTCTTCTAGAAACATATAATTCAAATCCCTAGAAGCTTATCTATCAATTTTCTTTTATACGCTGACCCACGCTACTAGATCCGACGGTGGGTATTGCTCCCTTATAAACGTGACACGTGTCGATATCTTCGAGCGAGTGGCAAGCGCTGAAACAGCGCGTATTCATCGTGCTGCTGACTCCCTCGATATGCTAAATCCCCAGTTTGATTGCAATGCAATGTGGGCCTTTGTTTAATGTATGGGCCATAATTGATGAAATGGGCCTTTGTAACAAAAGTTGTAATGACAATAATATGGACCGGACCACGGGCTAATACAAGTTGACGAAAATGATTATATTATTATCTGAGTAAGATGAATCCGTAAAAAAAAAAATCCGAACTTCTTATTTTATTCCAAATCATTATATGACTTTCAAATTTTTTATACTAAAGAAAATATGATAAACAATAAGGCAAAACACAGTTCCTGTGGTAATAAAAAGGCAGAAAGATGATAGGAAATTAAGAACATATGTGAAATCACAGAACAAGGAGAGTTTTAAGGCCATTTTACAAAGAGGGTTTTGGACACTCTTTGGTGTAAATCTCACATTTGTTCATGGAAAGGGAAGGAAAAGGTCATCTTTCCTCTTTTGGAACTGACCAGGTAAAAACTGGAGAAACAACATTCCAAAAAAAGAAAAAAAGGTTTTTTTTATTCCCCCTCCTAAAGGAGAGGGAACTCAGAAGATGAACTTATGCAAAAGATGGCCAAAAATAGAAAACCCAAGACTAAAACCGATCAAATCTGTCTGCTGTACCTTTGTGTCTCCCCTTCTCCTGGAACAAACGTGTTCCCAGACATTTTCCAAGGTGGGTTTTACCCAAGGGTCTCAGGAGAACATCCTGAGAAAGTTGTTTGCATATGCCATTGGCTTGACGTCCGGGTGAGGCTGTGAAAATTTCATTTCGTCAGATATCGAGAAAGAATGGAATAACTGTACACAGATTCTTCTTCAGCCAACATCAAACAGATTGTGCCATGCGTGAATTCGGGAAACTGGTCTTATGATTCTGATTTCATTGACCAGGCAAAGGAGAACAGAAAGTTTGCAGGAAGAGAGTAAGAGCTATACTCACCACAGCCGAGAATGTAACTATGTTTGGCTTCATGTCGGGAGCTTCAAACCGAATAAAGGCACCCTTGTTACCCATCTGCAGCCACACCATTACGAGTCAGATTAAGGGTCAATCATGTTTTCCGCAGAAAAGAGACAGACAGATGACATAATGAAGACAACCCAGTAAGGACGTTGGTTATACTGTTCGAGATTTTAAATCTGAAAGAGGAGCATCCAGTTACCTGATCACAGTAATTTGGTGCAGAGAATACAGTGATCAGTTTACCATCATGTTCAATCTCATAACCTTCGTCTTTTACTTCATGTGATCGGACGACCAATTCTGCCAAGCCAATTCAGAAAACGTAGTCTTAATTCCATCTCAGAAAAAATAAAAACACTGGACCAAATACAAAGAATGAACAACTGCTCGAACCTAGATTGTTGTCCTGCAAGAATCTCTTCGTTACATCTCCACCAAATGAAAGACCGACTCCCCTTTTGCTTGGACCTCTTCCAGGCTGAGGTTGGGGATCACTCCACAACAATTCACACATCAGTCCTGAATAGACATGGGCATCATTAGATTATTAAACGGAAAACACAGCTTCAGAAACAGAATGGTAAATAAATATCTCTGAGAGTGAGGTAACATATTGCTGTCCAAAAAATGAGCAAAACCAGCAATCATTTGCATGAGCAATTATTTGTAAATGACCTCGATGAAACTTACCTTCCTCTGGAGGCTCACAGAAACGGTCAATTGCTCGGATGTCTGAGAGTTTCACACCATCGACACTGAAGAGGCCTCCATGAACCACAAATACTTTCCCGTTTATTACATGAGCCAATGGCAAGCAACAGAAAACTTCTGCAAAGAGTTCCACAAATTTTTCACTCAACTTCGACTTGACCTCCCCCTCGAAACCATATATTTTGTTCATGCTCTTGCTCTCGTGATTCCCTCTGGATAGATATATGGCTGCAATTTCAGAAATATCATTACAACATGTGATATTAAACATAAATGAGAATAACTTTCTACACCTACAATAAAAGTAAAAGCAAATATAAACTTGAGGGTGTGATCATGCAAGGGAACTGAGATATTGCAATAATCGTCCTCAAACTACGAGAAGACATTTCAAATTGCTGACAGCGTTAAAAGGAGAAACTTACATGACGGACACATGCACTTGAAAGCAAACAATGTCAGAATGACCTCCACAGAGAAGGAGCCTCTATCCACAAAGTCACCATTGAAAAGGTATGGATTCTCTTCAGAAGGAAGACCATTGAGCTCAAATATATTTAAGAGATCGTAGAACTGCAAATATAAGCAGAAAGTGTCATATTCACATAGACACAACAAAATACAGCCAAGAGCCGCAGTCCAGTGCAAAAGGTGATGCATATCAGGGAGACCAGTAAAGTTAACAAACCAATTATGATATAATACATCAACAACTAGAAGCAATCAGATTTGATAAGTCCTCTAACTTTCTATGAAAAGGCAGATGTTGTCGAGGTTGAGGCGAAAGTTAGAGTCCGATGTGGTGTAATTGTGAGGAATGAAAACTAGCAGTAGTTGCATGGGTTGTCACTTGTCATCATGGATATGTTCAGGATATCGGATGTGAGTGAAAATTTTTTGGTTGATAGAAAGAAATACTATAGTGGGCATACCTGACCATGGACATCACCACAAACCGTGAAATGCTTGCCATCGGGCACATTAATATCAACAAGAGAAGGCAGAGCACACAAAATTTGCCTCATCTGTAAGACAATTTGGTATGCATACCTACAATTGCAGTGCCGTATAAGAATGAATGAATAATCACTTAGTCAAATAAGTTTGATGCTACTCCAGCAATACAAACCGTTTGTGCAATGTTTTTTGGTTCTTGAAATCCTCCATCATGTTTTTAACAAAATCCAAGGTCACTTCATCCCCTTCTATTCTTGCTCCGGAGTATTGTGGTTCAACCTCTACAATGAAATTGAACAAAAAAAAAGAATTAAACGTGATGCCATCAACAGATTAGCACTTAAATGCAGCAAAATCCAAGTACATTCAACATCAATCACATCATCAGCATGAAATAATAAAAATAAAATTATTGAAAGAATTTTACCCAAATGTTTCTATGTGTGGACTGTGACGCCATCTTGACATCAATAACATAAAACATTTTCATTCTCGACTAAAATTCTGAAAGAGATAACATGCTTGGTCTACAATGCGAATGAGATTGAGAATGATCCAACATGATCTGATGAACAAAAACCTAGGATGAGGATTAAACCAGAGAAAAGACACTACTACCACTGCAGCTAGCCCACCAAAATGCCCCTAACACCACCAGAACCAACAATATCAGGCTCATCACAGTTGTGGTTAATGTTGAGCCCATCGCCATCACTACTGCTGCAACGACTGTGACTGCTGCTAAAGCCATTTTGGTGGGTATGTATGATGATCTGGGGTTGTTCCCTATTATGTGAAAATATGTAGAAGAATGATTCCATCAATGCTTTATGGAAAGATCATTACTGGGATCTATCACTAGTGAAGGCTAATGCTACATTTAACCGTTTGTCAATCACTAAATTCAAAGGCACAACATAACAAGACACAGAATGGATTATAAAGGCGAACACAATCTAGGGCAGAGGTCGACTGAACAAAAGCAAAATGATGACAATACCTATTGTGTGGTAGTCAATGGAATCAGCTACTGAGCGCCTTTCAGATCCAGGTACAGAAATCGCCTCTTCAAATTTGAGTTTCATTACTTGTTTCTCACATTCCTTCAGCTTTCTCGAGGCATCAGGATCATTGGGACAAATCTTTTTGACCTAGGTTAAAGATAGTTCCATGTCAGCAATACCTTTCACACTAGCTCTCTTAATATATGAAGAGAGTTCAACGCCAAATCAGAATTCACTCACAGATTACTATCCAATCCATTTTTTGAATACCACTATACTTGATCAGATAATAATCGATCAAGCCCTGACATTTTCGGGGTAAAGTTCCAGCATGAAATTAATCAAGGATTCGGTTTGGTCACTCTAGAATGTTTGCCTACTCAGCCAAAAGGTCAAAAGATAGCAACGGTAACTACTGGGCCAAAAGCTACCAACGCAAAGAGGAAAGGAATGAGAAACTTAAAAGCACACATGACAACAGACAAACCTGTTGGAAGTCCTTCAAAGCTTCCTTAAATTTTCCCATGGCAAGGTATGCAGCACCTCGCCTGTAATAACCCTGTCATTCAGCAAACTATCAGTGAATAAGGCTGGTTACTTAAGGGAAGACGAAGCGACGTCCTTATCACATAATCGAACCTTTGAGTATTTTGGGTCGATTTCAATGGCCTTTGATGCATCTTGTATCGCACTGCCATATTCCTCTAATTTAGTGTGAGCAAAGGCACGGTTTGCCCAATAAACGGCGCTGTTGCTGTTAAGTTCTATAGCTTGTGTATACAGATCAATAGCATGAGAATATTTGTGAGCTGCAGGCAAGAAACAAGATTCAGGAATTAGTTTGTTACATAAGGGAAACCTACAATAAAAGTAAAAGCAAATATAAACTTGAGGGTGTGATCATGCAAGGGAACTGAGATATTGCAATAATATTTAAAAAATTAAAACTATAGTAGCTGAAACTGAAACTGGTTCCCCAGAAACTTCTTAATGTTCTAAGAGAATACATACATTGAGCAAGTAAACATAATAGTCAAATAATTAAGAGACATTGAAGAAAGTTGTCACCTTTGAATGCTTCGTTAGCCTGATTCTTCATCTCCTCAGCACGTGAAACATCGGAGTTCTCATTCTCATGCTCCATTTTTGCGAGTAACCTTCTTTCTCAACTTGGGGGGGTTGAATTTATCGGGTTAAGCTGGAACTCGTTAATCGTAAGGATGAAACTTTGATTTATAATCTCTCCGCGCCCAAATGCCTTGTCTTATCCAATGAGAACAATTATCGCAATCAGTTCACAGATTCTACGATTATCTGAAAAAGTGAGAGTTCCTCAAAACCAGTTGGTTCAGGGAGCTGTATCAAAATTAAAACTTGAAATCTCTCAGTTCAACTTCGGTTAAACCCGTATCACAAGTAGAACTTGAACATTAAAGGCACTAACCTCCAATCATTATAATTGGATAGGTACCTAAATAACTCATTCACACAATCACTCACACCTACCTAAAAGGTAGAAATCAACCACGAACTCGAAACAGGGGAAGCAAGCCCCAATATTTTGGGACCTTACCAGATAAGGCCACGTGAAATCAACATAAACCTAATCTAAAGCACGTTTAACTGCCATAAACATTTGGCATAAAAACCGAATAACTTAACATAAAATTGATCAAAAGGTAAGATTTTCCTTCTACTTTCCGTCGTTTTCCCAGCAGCCAAACAGCGAACTTATCATCACTCGCAACGCGTAATCGCATAACGCATGGAGAAATCAAATAGAAACGTTGTATTCCAGATCCGTGGGCGTACAAGCCCTTAATATCTCTTACGGACAAACCCGTTGAAGACCTATCAGAACCCAGATAAGAAATCGAAACAGGACGACAGAAGAAGAAGCCCCAGCATCTAGGATGGTTTGTCGGATTATCTCAGTTCAGAGTTCATTCATGGGAAGGCAGAAGTTTACCTGAAAAAGCTAGATCTCGGCGACAGCGAGTGAGGGAGGAGGGAACAGAAACCCTAGAGTGGCCTAAGCGTGTGTGGAGCTTCGCATCTATGGGGTTTGAAGCATTATTAAAAATCCCATTTTTCTCTAATCCTTTTATATAATTCTTTTTTAACTCCTTTTTTATATTTTATGGAAGGTTTATTAAAATAAAATTCTCATAACATTACCAAGGCCTTTTATTTTTCCCGTTGATTCAAATATCTCTAAAACTAGGGGTGGGCATAATATCCGGAAAAACCGAACCGATCCGTTATCCGAACCGTATCCGAACCGAAAATTCGGATATCCGAAGGTTACGGATCGGATACGGATATTTATTTTGAATTATTTGTCGGATACGGATCGGATACGGATATCGAATCCGAATTATCCGACATATCCGATCCGATCCGTACTAATTAATAATATTATTAAATATAAAATAATTTGCTATAAAAATTTAAAATGCTTTATACTTATCTATTTTATAGAGATATTTAATAAATATTTTGTATATATATTGAGATGTAAAATATTAATCTTTTGAAAATTAAAATTTATTATGTTTAATTTTTGAATTTTGAACTTTCAATATATTTGTATATGATAAACTATGATTATATTTGTATTTGAATTAATTTAAAATATTTAAATTATAAATTTTAAATTATGAATAACATTTATATTAAAGAACTTATATATTTTCTTTATATTTCAAATTTTTATTTAAATTTGAATTTAATTTTTATAATTTTTAATGTCGGATACGGATATTTGCAAATATCCGCGATATTTACGGATATCCGAAATTTCGGATATCCGTAAATTACGGATCGGATACGGATAATAAAATCGAATATTTGAGCGGATCGGATACGGATACGGATATCCCAAAAATCACGGATATCCGATCCGTGCCCACCCCTATCTAAAACTTTTATTATAGTCTAATTAAAAAATACGATTAGCTAAACTGATATACAAAAAACATACAGTTATGTTATCATTTGTATAATTTACGTATCATTTTTTTATATCCTAAAATCATAAATTTGTCTCCTAAATAAGTTAATTACATATGTCTATGAACACTCACCAACTTTTTTTTTTGGTTTGAAAATTTGAAATACTAAACAAAGATTAAAAAATAACAAAAATACAAAAATACAACTACCTCTTATTTAAAAAGGAAAAAGAAACAAAAAAATCTTCAACTTTTTCAAATGATTTAAAACACTAACTATTCAAAAATCCAAATAAAATTACAATCTTTAAACAAATTATCCAAAAAAACTATAACTTTTAAAAACATTCATTTAAAACCCCAATAACCATAAAATGTAGTAATGTACCCTTCTCCCATGTGGGAAATAAATCTAACATCTTTCTTTCCAAAATATATTGTATCAAATCTAACCTCTAAAAGATAGAATTTTTATCATTGTTAGAGTGAAAAATATTAAAAAGTTTCATATTTTCACAATAATGTTTAAGGACATTTGTCCTCGTTGAAGTATTACGAATATTTATCGACGTGGTTTATACCTTGAATCATTGAAAACTTTTTATAGACATATAACAAATATATGTATTGTTTTTTTTTTATATATATACAACAAGATATCTTGAATGGTGTTTAATTATGAACTGATACCTTTAAATCTTATATATTCAAACTAATTTTTATTTGTCTGTAAATCAGCATACTAAACGATAAAAGAATGATGTTTCATTCGGAGCAAGATTCGAATTTGAAAAAAGATATTGAATCATTTATTCCAATTTTTAGTTAAATGTGTATTTTTTTTATCAGTATAACAAATTCGAGTTTCGGTTCGGGTTCGGTTCGGTTATATTCGGATTCGGTTATTTCGGTTATAGAAAAACTATAACCTTCGGTTTTTATATAAATTTTGGTTCGGTTCGGTTCGATTTCGATAAAAAGTTTATTTTTTTAAATAAATTGTCGATTTTTTTGGTTATTTTTTTATTCGGTTCGATTTGGTTCGGTTTCAATTTTTTCGGATTTAAAAAAATCATAACCGTTCGATTTTGATGTCAGGTTCAGTTCAGGTATGGTTATGTCTTATTCGGTTCGGTTCGGTTCGACTCGTTTATTCGGTTAGTAACCTAAATGGTAACCTCTAAGTATAACATCTAAATTGGGCCAATAATCATAAAAAAATAAAACGATTATTCAACGTGCCATAGTCTCCGATGATGATGATGATAATGGCGTTCAAATAGTTTGATCATCATCATCATCATTGTGTTGACTTTTAATTTATGGTTTGTGTGACGTCAGCAGTATAAACATATCCGCAAGATGAGTGGGTGTGGATGGTGACATGAATGATCATTATTGCCATTCATTCGTTCGTTCAGTTGAGAAAAAGAAAAAAGAAAAAATCATTAAAATTCAATTCTAGAATCCAACGGTTTCCATTTCGAGCCATTAATTCCAATATAAATTAAGATTGACTTTTGGGTCTCTTTTCATGTCTGAAAGTAAACTTAATGGTAAAATAATAAATTATTTGAATTTATTTATTTTTAAATAATAACAGGAGGAGGATATTAGTCGAATGATACTTCACCCGCACTCCAAGGAATATAAAATCCCTTCTGATTATTTTTTTTAAAAAAAAATTCCAAATTTCCCCTCTTTCTGCCGTTACAGTTTGAATCCAGCTCATTCAAGCAACTCTCCACTTGTTCGGGTTCGATGGGCATGAAATCTCCGGCGAGATTCGCTCTCGGACGTCAATCCTCGCTCGCCCCGGATCGCGACGGAGGAACCACCGGCGCCAGGTCGGCGACGGAGGCAGATGGCGACGAGGAGTCTCCGGCGGCGGATCCGAGGGTTCGTCTGATGTACTTGGCCAACGAAGGCGACATCGATGGGATCAATACGATGCTCGAGTCCGGGACCAATGTCAATTTCAGGGACATCGACGGTCGTACGGCTCTTCACGTCGCCGCTTGTCAGGGACGGCCCGACGTTGTTCAGCTGCTACTCAGCCGTGGCGCCGAGGTCGATCCGATGGACCGGTGGGGCAGTACGGTGATTTCCCGGCCTTTCTTTTCTGAGTCCGTTTTTTTTTAACTTCCCTTGTTCTCGATGGGTCTGCTTCTTGATCAATTTTCATGTCCTGCTGCACAAGCATCTGTTAGTCTTTGCGTGATCATGATCTCCTGCTTTAGTTCTTGTTTTGGTGTTACTGAACACTGGGGGATAGAATCATCTGAGGCTTAGATAAGACTGTTATGCTTTATGCTTTGTAGATAATAGAAAGGTTATCTCAGTGTTAGAATCGATGCAGTGACCGCTGGCGGTGAACTAAATCATGGGAAGCCCTTTCCGGGTAGTACTGAATTGAGTTTCCAAACATGGATTTCATCTGCTATGCCTTGTGTTCGATGGCTCTGTAAGCCAGAACCTTATTTCCAAAAGTCTCATTACTGAAAAGGCTTAATTTTTTTGAGTGTGATGCTCTTTCATCTGTGAAGATTTTAGGAGTGACTACAACGATGGTAAAATATCTGTGATTGTGCTTAACAGCCTCTTGCAGATGCAGTGTATTACCAAAACCATGACGTGATAAAACTTTTGGAGGAACATGGTGCAAAGCCTCCGGTATGATTTATGTCCTATGATATTTTTTCTCTCAGTCCCTTTGGTTCTAAGATGTCCCTAGCCCTTTACCTTGCAATTCTCATGTGGTGCTTAAAGGAAATGTACTAAGAAATTGTTTGAAAATCTGTTCCTTTAGGTTGCTCCCATGCATGTCCAAAATGCTCGAGAAGTCCCAGAGTACGAGATTGATGCAAAGGAGCTTGATTTTTCAAACAGTGTGAAAATCGCAAAGGTAATTCGCAGAGTTGTCCCAAGTTGCTTGTTGTTGCTTCTCCCTCCTCCATCCGCGCAAATGAAGTTGCGCCTGATTCATTTCTTGTACTATTGTTTTCTCATTGGATTTTACACAACAGCATGAGTATATTAGGCTCTTTGCAGTCACTGCAATCTAGTTATACTTATACCCTCAATGTTTCACAATTTTAGCTGCCAATTGTGGTTCAGAGCAAAGCAGTATTTACTTTTATCTAGTAGTTACTAATCCATCTATGATATCTGTCCCACAGGGTACCTTTCGTATGGCATCATGGCGTGGAATTAAGGTGGCTGTTAAAACATTCGGGGAAGAACTGTTCACAGATGAAGACAAAGTGTGGGTTGACTTGATTTCCGTCTCTGGATTATTGATCTTCTCTTGCGTTAAATGTTTTAACATTCTCCTTGCATTTCAGGAACGCATTTAGGGATGAACTTGCACTGCTTCAAAAGATACGTCATCCCAACGTTGTCCAGTTTCTTGGTGCAGTTACTCAGAGTAGTCCCATGATGATTGTCACCGAGTATTTATCTAAGGTTATTGTTCTCTCTCAATCAAAACAACCACATCCGGTTCGGTGGATAGCCGTGCGAGATTCGTTGAATCATTTGATTTCTAAGTTCTCTCGCAAAGATAATCTGTTGGAGAATTTTCGATCATGCTGGAAAATACTCTGGTCAGAAAATCTATGCAAGTTCAGTTTTCATTATACTTTGAGTTCAGCCATTTGAGGATAACTTCAAATACTCTCTGCTATTTTGATGGTACACCTATAACTGATGATAGAGCATAAGGAATAGGTTGTCCGGTTTTTTGTTGTCTCGGTGAAAAGCTCCAAATTAGAATGGGAAGCAATAACTTTCGCTTTTAGCATGTTTTATGTCGAGTTAAATTCCCGTCCGGCTTATGCTTTCAAGTTATCTATTTTCTTGTGTTTATATTTTAGGGAGACCTACGGGAATATCTTGACAGCAAGCGGGTTCTAAAGCCCGAACAAGCCGTGAAGTTTGCACTTGATATTGCCAGGTTAAATTGCTACACAATAAAATTCGGGTTCAGTTCCATTCCGTTGCCACTGATTATGTGAAATGCCAAGATATTAAGGGGTTTCCAATAATATTTTGCAGGGGGATGAATTACTTGCATGAGCATAAACCTGAAGCAATAATCCACCGTGATCTAGAGCCCTCGTACGTTTTTCTTCTGCTTGTATCTGGGTTACCAATACCATTCTTCTGTTACCAAAATGTTTTGGGGGTTATACATTTGCATATAGCTACTAAATTGGAAAGCTTCTTATTTGTTCGAGTAAGAGAACAGAAATATACTGCGGGGTGATTCGGGCCACCTGAAAGTTGCAGACTTTGGAGTGAGCAAGATGCTGGCAGTTAAGAATACAGTCAAAGAAGACAGGCCGGTCACACCACAGGATACATCTTGTAAGTTTTTCTTTGTGGCCATTTTGGAGTTCCTTTTTCAGGGCTTTACATGATATCTCCCTGAACTAAGCTAAAAGCTGCTTGGTAAGTCTAGAGTTGTCTAAAAGAAAACACTTTATGAACTTCAAAGGTAGTTCCATAAAAAGAGGGGCAAAAAAAGTTTACCCCTCGATCTGATTGTGAAGCCGAATATCATTACATAACATAACCTCATATTTTACAAAGCTAGTACTGTTGTGGGCCACTGATGCTGATATCCTCTTACTAATGAATGAACAGGGCGGTACATGGCTCCCGAAGTGTATAGGAATGAAGAATATGATACTAAAGTAGATGTATTTTCTTTTGCATTGATCTTGCAAGAGGTAGGGTATATTATCGTAGCCGATTGAGTTTGTACACCTCGAAAATATTCTGCCTGATCCCCCAACTTACAAATATATCGTATCCAATCCAATGCATGCATGCGGGTAATGACAGATGATTGAAGGATGTGTGCCGTTTCCCATGAAGCAAGAGAGCGAAGTTCCCAAAGCATATGTTGCAGATGAGCGCCCTCCATTCAACGCTCCAGCAAAATGCTATCCGCTCGAGTTGAAAAAGTAGGTCTCTTTGAACCGTTATAGCCTTTCTTCTGCTCAATGCTTCGAGGCTTTATCCGCTACCATCCGACGATAATAACCCTAATGTAGGATTAATCCAGGATTGTTCTGATCTCTTGCCAGGTTAATCGAGGACTGTTGGGACAAAGAACCTTCTAGAAGACCGACGTTTCGAAGAATTATAGCCAAGTTGGAGGTCATAGGTCATCATCTTGAGCGGAAGAGGCGGTGGAAGTTCTGTCCGTGTATGTGAGGGACAATGAGATTTCGATTTTTTTCTCTCGAACTGATCATGGAACATTTCGGCCAGGACACAGGCCATGTTAAGGATATACCATCCGAGATTCGGAGACTTGTTGAAGAGAGATAACGTGAATCCAAGCAGCCGTTCATCTCGCTCCTTCAACAGGTGAGTTATTACAACAAAACCAAAGAAGAAAAAAACATTTAAAAAAAAACTGTTTTGTGTTAAGAGTGTCTCTGGTTTGTAACATGAAAAAGGATTTTTTTTTTTTGATAAATGAAAAAGGATTTTGATTTTCTTGCTAATGGTTTTTGTCCCAAAGGCGAAAACACACCATGACTGTTTTTTTTTTTTTCATCTTTGGTCTTTTGTAACATAGTAACATGTCATGTTTTTTTGCTTCTTTTTTTTTAGAAAACGTGTGTGAGTGAGACCCATTTGAAATTCAATCACTCTTAACATTTATGCAACTCATTCTCACTCTTGGTCCAATCTTTCATTGGCCTCTCGCAGTCAGAACTCAGAAGACCCTTTTTGAAGGGGGGCAATTAAAAGGGGAACGGGTAAAAAAAAAGGTCACATTTAAAATGTAAAAAAACGTGTGGGGAAAATGAAATTTTGGTGTCTATTATTCGCACTACATTAGCCGCGGATCAATCGGTTGATTCAAAAGTATTAATGAAATGGAAGAGATTTGTCTTGCCTTTAAATTTTTTTTTTTTTTTTTTACCGGACTGAGTCCTTAGGCCTCTGCGTGCAACTGCAAACCGTGGATAGAGAGGTTGTGAGCTGACATCAGTCCAGAGCTCTTATCATTCATTCAAAGCCACATCTACTCCAGCCTCAGGGGTGGGCTTGTTCGAAGAACCGAACCGAAAAATACGGTATTTTTTTCGATTTGAACCGTTCTAAAATTTTGAATGATACTATTTTTCGAAAATCGAATTTTCCAAAACCGAATCGAAATGAATCGAATTTTAAAAAATTCTGAAAAATCGATTTTTTTTTAAAGAAATCTATCTTTATTTTAATAAAAACCGGATCCGAATCGAACCGAACATAATATAAAACCGATTTGTACCTATTTTTATAAAACCAAACCGATGTATTCCAATCCTGAACCCGAATCGAATCCTGAAATACCCATCTCTTACTCGAGACTCTCACACACAAGTTTTGTGCATATGTGTGTATATATGTATATATAGTTTTTTTTTTCAATTTTTAAATTTTTTGGCTTTCTGACCATTTTCTTTATTAGTTACATGCATTAAAAACTCAAAAACCAAAAAAATAAAATCTAACCGCGAAAAAACATATTGTAATGCTAATTGTGCTACATGTTTCCATGTGTTTTGTAGTAGAATGCTAAAATCGGTTTCTTTTTTTATTTATTTTGATTTTGTCTTGAATTTTGATCAGTAGCTTTGTAGAATAAAATAAAATTGAGTTATAATTTTTTGGTTTGATAAAATATCTCTTAATTTGAATTTTTATTTGGTTTGTCTCACTTTAGGTGATATTTTAGGTTGAATTGGAAATGTTGAAACGAGTTAAGTTTAAATTAATTTAATCAGTTTTTTTTTTCAATCAAAATATTCCGTACGTTAAATTTAAGTTGAATGATCGAAGTGTTTGACTAAATATACATATTTGAAATTAAAATGTAAAAGACTTTAAGAGAAAAATAAAATATAAAATTAACTTAAAGATAAAACATTTTTTTAATGATACATACATATGAATATCTAGTCATCCAAAATTCTATTTTATATATATTAGAGATGTGGATTAGTAGTGTAAAATAATTTGCAATATATAGGGGAAACCCCTAAGTGAGTTGGTAAGGAGCATGGTCAACATACCGAGAGGTTGGGGGTTCGACTCCTTATCCGTTCACCTATCGCATGTCAGTTACGGTTGATTTACATCCCACGCGTGTGTTGCAGACTCGTACGTGTGAGCTTGGGTTTATTTGGTCAGCGCACTCGAAGGGTAGCAGCCGGATTCCAATGTATCAAAAAAAAAATTTGCATATATATATATATATATAAAGAGTGGAAAAAATAGAATGAAAGGGAATCCAAGTAAAACTGGAAACTGACAAGACCACCTCGTGCTGCTACAGTTCTTAAGGGTGCATGCACGTATGGCCCTTCTTCCCCTCACTCGAAAACCTAAGACAGGGAGCGTACAGGCGTGTGAGGAAAGAGCGCGTGAGATAAGTCCCGACTACTCTTTGTTCCGAAGTGCATAAAGATGGTGATATATCATCCTAATGGACCATCTCTCTAGAATTTTAGAGAGAGAAACTGTCTCTCTCGTTCTGTTGCGCTCTCTCATGCGTCGCTTTCTCTCTCAACTCCTTTAGTAACTCAAATAATTAAACAAATAAAGGGAAAGCGACATGAGAGAAACTACTCCCCGAGCGGAAAACCGTAAAACCCCTCTCTCTCTCTTTCTCTCCTCTTGCGCTCGGATCGGATTCGGATTCGGCTCCTGAGATAAACACATATGCACAAAACTTGAAGACGATGGAGATAGTAGCGACAGCAGGTTGATCAATTTGAAGAGAAAAAGGAAGAAGATGAAGAACAAGCTTGAGAGAGAGAGAAAGAATTACCCCATTGATGCGAAAATAGCAAACAAGGTCCGTACACGTAAACTTCTTCAGCATAAAATACTTCTTGTACGGTTTAATATTAGTTTTTTTAATTGATGAATTCCCCTCGCATTTTCTGCTGTATGGTTCAATCCGTCCACTGGCATTGATAACTCTATTCGTCTCCTTCATCTGAGGCTTTGTAATCTTCTGGCATTGTCATTGAAACAAGATAGTACGGATTAATTATGTCCTGATGAAATCAAGGGGCCATGACTGTCGTTGAACTTTAATTTCTCTGCAAGATCCAACACAAAGTAGCGAGTTCGCTTACTAATATATCAGCTGATTAGTTTGTCGGTTAACCATGTGTGCTTTTTTGATGTCGCGAATTGTGTCCAGGTAGAAATGGATGATGGTCTGAAATGCGGTCTGAGGAGTAGGGAAGAAACCTCTGGTGTTAAGTCGCGCATTCGTTGCTCATCTTACTCGGACGAGGGTAGATTTTCGTGTTATACAGAACCGGTTGTGAAAGATCAGAATCCGGGTTTTGAAGTTCGTAGCATTCTAAAGCCCGAAAGAAAAGTTTACACCCTCAAGAATCCTGATAAGTTGAATATGAGCAAGAAGCATGTCAGGTTCTCTGATCAAAGTGACATGCTTTCGCCAAGAAAGAAAACTATAGAATTAAGTTTCTCCAGTTTGGAATTGGATGTCTCTAGTCTCTCTTGTGAGGATCATCAGCCTTCTGCTGATGACCAATAGTTTCGGCACGAGGTTTCAACAATGCAGTTGACTAATCATCTTGAAAAGGTTGATTAATTTGTCGAGTTTTCCGCCACATCTAAGTCTATATGAAAGAACAAAGCATGCGCCGGTTAAGCTTCTGCACCCTTCGGAACTTGGGATAAACCCCAATGATGCTAAAGCAGCTGATGTTTACATCCCGGATACAACACCTGTTTCGAATTCGGGTTGGAAATCGGCTGGTTGTCACGCAGAAGCAGCTCCACATTTTCGATCATTTACTTTCACTTTGAATGAGATTGCAAATGAAAGAAATTCTTTCTTGTGTCAACCTACTTTGGGAGATATGCATCACTACTGGTCATCTTGTCACCGACTTCCTTTGGAGTGGATGCAAGAATCAGTTGCATATAGAGAAAGGCAAGAAGAAGATGCGTTCATGGTGTTTCCTCTCAATTTACAAGGTGAGCTCGTTTCAGTAGATGGGTTTTGTCCTAGAGGTTATGATCGGCAACTGACTTCATGTTTAGGCACTGTTTCTCCTAAATCTTTGTCTGCAGAAACTGAACTCTTGTCTGGAAATGTATTCTCCAACATGAAGAAGCATATTGCCACTGAAACAGCATATGCCAAGAATGGCTTAGACTTATTCTCGGTCCGGAATCAGAGATATCCCAAGTACTTTCCTGCTAGGTTCGGGGTTGATGAGACCTTTAGTGAGAAAGCAAACGCCATCTCAGATATTAATCATAGAGAAATCAGTCAATCTGTCCATCCTCCGGGTTCTAGTCTCGGTTGGAAGAGCCGCTGGAATGATCTGATCGAGAACCGTAAGAGGAAAAGCATGGTCGATGATATGCCATTTTATAACACTCCAGCAACAATGCGGTTGATGGGAAAGGATGTTACTGTCGGCACAAGTAGTTCAAATATGCAGATATCAGGAGCTGGAAAGGTTAGAACAAACGAGGGGATCATTGCTCGGAACGCTCCTTTTACTTTACCACCATCACATGGTTCCTTGTCGGGTAACCATAGGTGGCCTTGGCTAACGACACGAGGAAATCCCGAAAATGCTCTGAGAATGCCATCGGATAACATGCGGAATCCATCTTTTCACGTAGAATCCGCGAAGGAGGACCCCGTTCATTGCTTTCGTGCAACTACAAGCCTTATTCCTGACCAGAGATTTCGCATGGATACTTCTTATTCGGTGTTTGATAGCGATCTCAGCTTCCAAGGATCCGCTTGGAGCCAACCGAATAGTTTCACGATCAATCTCAGACCACCTTTTCCTTCTGTTTCGCCTCTGCGTTACAGCAACGTCGATATTGACCTCAACTACGTTGATCCTTGTGCTGAATAACCGCCTTTTCGACTTCCATTCTTGTGCACAGATTCTAACGGTGAACCGTCAATAATACCCCATTTCCCTCAAAGTTCCTTCAAGGGCTCGACGACCCCATGGTCTAAGTTCTGAAACTGGGCCTGGCTAGCTGTCTACTAATGGGGATGGTTGGGCTCCTCAGATTTCTTTCAGTCCTCTCACTCAGCAGCAGCCACTGGCCTTCTCTGGGTCCAAGTCATCTCCTTTCATAAATGTCGGAAGGACAAACAAAACAAATGCCAGAGGCAAGGTGAAATCCAAGGCAAATGGCGGTAGTATCGGTCAAATCAATAAGCGGGAAGCGGATTTTCCGAGGAAGAAAAACACAGAACATGAACAGCAAGAGTTATGACAAGAAAGGAAGAGTCCATCATGTTCAAAGTGAGAAATCTAGTGGAAGTAAGCTTCACCAGGACAGAAAAAGACGGGTTCGTTCAATCAAAGACATATGATCTATATACCCATTATCTGATACCTGTCAGCTTCACCACATATTTGAAAAGTTCTAAGAGGTAAAATTTCTGATGCCCAGTTGTTTATTTTTTTTTTAATTGAACTGTTTTCCTTCATTACATTATGCAAATTGCCTTATAGATAATCCGTAGAGAGAAGGCAAGAAGGATGAAAGAGAAAGAAGAAGAGGAAGAGAGTGCAGTATCTCTAGCTAGTGACATTAAGCTGTCTAAAATCTTAGTCTTAGGTAAGATTTTGATTACGAAAGGGGGTATTTTCGTTGCAAATTCAAGTGGTTCGAGTAAATATATACGTGTATTCTCCTTGTCTTTTTTGGACATTGGGGAATAACACAAACCAGTATATATATATATATATATAATACGGCGAGATAATAATGGCTATTTTGTTGCAAATTGATTTATTTTATTTTTTGTTAGGGAAATTTTGCTTTGGTGGTTTTTATTCAAATTGATTTATGATGGGTTTCAAAAGACAAAATCCAAATGGTAAAAAGGCATCAAAATGTTGGGAAAAATGTCAGCGTGCAGTAATTACATCGGACCCGAAAATGCTCATGACGTTTGCTCTGTCCATTCTTTAATGCCATTTAATCCAATATGGATTTATATATACACACATGTATATATATAGTACTTAGTGGGTCACATAATGTTCAGATTTTATATTTTTTTCCACTTTTTTTTATATAACATCAATATAATAAGTCATCGACAAAATAGTGAGTTTAAGTTTACTGAAAATAAAAAAGACAACATATATCCCAAAGTCCTGAAAATGAATGTTGGGTTTTTGCTCCCTCTTCATGAACACCAAATGATTTCCCTGTGAAATGTTTCCACGGTCGATTCAATTTGTTCCTCCTTCCATATATATACATACACACATGTTTGTATTGGCCAAAATAGGGTTTGCATGTTATATATGGTTTGTCGATTGATTGGTTTACCTTAGCTATAGAAAATCTAGGGACAAACCATGCATTTATTATGGGTTGAGATATAATCACATTCAACGTTTGTTTCTGTATATATGCTAATACGTACACACACACACACACGTACGTACACATGTTACGTGTATATATATATATATATATATGTATGTGTATGTATATGAGTTGTTTCCGTAGGAGGAGGGATTTATGCACGTCGAAAGAGATAGGGGATGGGCATGTGGGTTATATTTCGTACGTAACCCAAATTAATTGGTGATGGCAATTTGTATTGATTGAAACGTGTGTTTGGAAAATGGACTATTCTATTCATATGTTTAGTCATTGTTAGTGGGCTCTATTGTAGTTTCATGAAATATTTATTACATGAAATGAACTCGATCGAACATATATATATATATATATATGTATGTATGTATATATAGTGAGTTTTTTTTTGGATAAATATATATAGGGTGTGACTGGTGTTAACGCAATCGCCCGCAATCGCAGCGATTACGACTTCTGGCGATTACGGGTGATTGAAAAAATGATTGGTGGAATCGTAATCGCCCGCAATCGCAACAAAACATCAATATTCTAATCGCAGCTAAAAGATTGCGTTACGATAGCGTTTTGATTAAATGATCAAAATACCCCTAATTAATATTAATTAGTATATATATATATATACATACATATCATATTATATATATAAAAAACTTACGTATGTGTATATATACATAAAATATATAAATACATATATATATACATACACACGTACATACATATATATATATACACAAACAATCATATATACATACATACATCTATATACACGTACACATACATACATATACATATACATATACACATACATACATATATACACACATATATATACACATACATATATACACACACATACATGCATACATACATACATACACATATATACATACATACATATATATACACATACATATATATATACATGCATACATATACACACATGCATATATATATACATACATACACATATATATACATATATATATACACACATACATGCATACATACATACATATACATACATGCATACATATACACACATCTACATATATATATATACATACACATATATATACATACATATATACACACATACATATATATACATATACATACACATATATAGATATATATATATACATACATATATTTATATACTTAATACATATATACATACATAAATTAAAAAAATATATTAATAATTTTGTTTGGTATATATTATGTTTGATATTGTTTGGTTTTACCAATAAATATTTTTAATATTAAAATTATCTTTCAAAATAAATTACATTAATAACAAAATAATATTTTCAATTTTATAATTAATTATTTATAAATTTAATAATTATTTGATATTAAATCATAGTAAAAAAACTAATTAAAAATATTTTAAAATAGTATTGTATATAATGATATATTTTTTTGTAATTTAAACCAAATCGCAATCGCAATCGCTGTCAACCAATCGTTCTAAATCGCAATCACTCGCAATCGCTACCAACAACAGTTTTTTTACCAATCAGTACCAATCACCTAGAATCGTCAGCAAACGCATCGTAAACACCTGCAATCACCGCGATTGCGATTGCGATTCCACCAGTCAACACCATAGTGAGTTAGAATATCCACTACAAGAAAATCTTTAAATAGCGACGGAATTTACGACGGAATTTTTCCGTCGCAAAGAAATTACGACAGTATTCGACGGTTTTGCGACGGAATGCGAAACTTTTTATTCTGTCGCAATTAGTCGCAAAATCCGTCGCAAATTTGTGACGGAATACGACGGAAACGTTGTCGTCGCAAAACCAAACATTATTTGCGACAGAAATTTTAAATCTGCGGAATTTGCGACAGATATTTCCGTCGTATATATTAATTTTATTTATTTTTAAATTTATGTTATTTATTTTTGGAATTTGCGACAGATTTGCGACAGAAATTTCTGTCGCAATTCATAATTTCATTTTTTTTCATTATTGTCGATGAAAAATTTCAAATTTTCACGGTTTATTTTTTGTTTTGCGACGGATTTGCGACAGAAATTTCTGTCGCAAAATCTAAAAAAAATTTTCCCGCTATTTTCGATGAAAATTTTTAAATTTTTGCGGTTTATTTTTCGTTTTGCGACGGATTGCGACGGCAATATCCGTCGCAACACTTAATAAAAGCTGCGACTTCGTCTTTCTCCTCCAGACTTCGAAATTTTTTTTAAAAAATCTCAATCTTCTCTAATATTCTCTAACAAATTGTTTTCTTCAAAATTTGCCAAGATATGTGTATATATACCATGTATATAGATTTGTATATGTATGTGTTGTGTATATATATATATGTGAATGTGAATATGTGTATGTGTATGTGTGTATGTATATGTGTATGCGAATGTGTATGTGTTTATGTATGTATATGTGTATGTGTGTGTGTTTATGTATGTGTGTTGTGTATGTATGTGAATGTGAATATGAATGTGAATGTGAATGTGTATGCATATATATAAATGTGTATGTGTGTTTATGTGATGTGTATGTGAATATATATATATATATATGTATGTGTGTATGTGTATATGTGAATATGTATGACGAATGTGTGTTTATGTATGTGTGTAATGTATATGTATATGTATATTATATATATTTTTTTAATTTAAAAAAATATTTGCGACGGATTTAATCCGTCGCAAACCGCAGATTTTGTCCGTCGCAAACTTGCGACGAATTAACGACCGACAAATTTTTGCGACAACGATATACGGACGGAAATTATTCCGTCGCTTTCTGTCGCAAATTTGTAATTGCGACGGATTTTATTTATGTTTGCGACGGATTTCTCCGTCGCAAATTCGGATGTTTCTTGTAATGTCAATTTCGTTATCGTGTAACTCAAATCACATAATCAAAATTGTAGTTGGTTTAGGTTAGACGGAATGGTCAATGGTTAAGCTAACATCTGTTGTGTGTCTGTGTGTATATATATATATATGTATGTATGTATATGTATAGAAGCGGTGGAAGTACGATTTTAGGGGCGAACGAGGAAGATACAAAAATATTGGGGAATAAATGGAATATATAAAAAAGATGTCGAAGGACCAAAAACAAAATAAACTCTTTTGAATATATATATATTACAGACTTCCCAATAAAAAAAACGAGATGGTTACAGCATTTTCACATGCATGTCCTTTTCATCACTCTCTCCCCTTTTTTTTTTCCACTTGTATCCATATTTCACCGCACATACACACCCCTATATCTATACGTTTGCATGGGCTTTTTCGTGAATAAACGATGGTAAATGTATATTTTTAACTCAAGGTAACTTTTTATAATAAAAAAATTAAAACAAAGGCTATATTCTTCACGTTCAAATACATTAAAGAAATGATTTTGTATAGCTTAATTCTTCTAGTACCATATATATGTTACACTCATTAGAACATTTTTGTTCTCCACATTGTTATAATAACTATGCGTTAATTAATTCAAGACCAACGAATCATCAATTTATATCAGTTACACAACTTACTAAAATACGATATGGTTATCGTCAATTTTAGACCGAAAAAATCACGCTCTTAAGAATTTTTCTTCTTAGGAACTCAAATAATCTTAACATAGATATTTCATATATAAATACACACACGATATGGTTATTGTCAATATACGATATGGTTATTGTCAATATATATATATATATATATATATATATAGGGAAGAGCATCTAACGGGAGAAAAAAAAAAGGCGAGGATTAGGGTACCGAAAACGGTGAGTTTTCAAAAGGAGGGTTCAAAAATCAACACGTTCCCATCCCTATCCTTTTTGCCATAAACATGAAAGAAATGGATGGTTCTCATGTAATCTCTTTCAATGCCCTTCACCCAACTCCTTGCTCTCTTTTTCTACCCATCCCTCGAAATTAAAATTTTATCTTAATCAAATTTATTTTATAAACAAAAAACAAGAATATATATATATATACCCTCTAATATAGAATACACACACGCGCATACATGTACACATATGTAGAAAAAAAGAAAAGGGGGCACGCACGTATATCTATTTATACACACAGAGGCGGAGAGGGCCAGTTCCTAGCTTTGGTATGAGGCTTGGGTAATTGTTAGATACAATGTCCATTTCTTCCTCCTATAAATACCCATCAGCAGCTCGAACAACCCTCCTCCTGTTTTCTGCAAGAGGGCTTTAATGTCTTTCAAGCATTATTCCTTCATGAGAAATTTTTAAAACCAAAACGGAAAAAAGAGGGTTTACGTTTTCAAGAAAAGCGGATGCAGCAGTTAAGTGGTACTGAACACTATACATAATTGCATGTACATATATATATATATATATATATATATATATGTATGTATGTATATCAAGAACTGTTTTCTTTTTATTTAGTCAGTCCCCCCCTCTAAAATCTTAGTCTTAGGTAAGACTAGCTAGCCAGGTAAGTTTGATGGTCATGAATCTTGAGCCCTTTGGTCCAAAGAACCCTAAAAGCCAGATCTTTATTGCCAAAGGGTTTTGTTCTTGATTAAAGGAAAGGGTTTTCGTTTTTTTCAAAACTTAAGAACTTTAACCAGTCCTCTTTCTTGTTGATCTCTGTTTGGTTTCTTCTTGTTCCTTGAAACCTTCGCAGTTGGAGATAAAGTCATGAACATGGAGATGGCGAAGAACGAAGCAGAGAGCAGCAATAACACGAAGAAGATAGGGAGAGGGAAGATAGAGATAAAGAGGATAGAGAACACTACGAATCGACAGGTCACTTTCTGCAAGAGACGAAACGGTCTTCTCAAGAAAGCTTATGAGCTCTCCGTGTTGTGCGAAGCCGAGGTTGCCCTCATCATCTTCTCCAGCCGCGGCCGTCTCTACGAGTACGCCAACAGCAGGTATATATATATATATATATATGTATGCCCTCGTTCATTTTCTTCTCATCATCTTCCATTGATAATTGCACTTATTTCTTGATTTTGATTCCTTTCCTTTGAGTAAAAATGCCTTCCTTTTGCTTCTTTTGGTCCAAATCTTGGGGGGGTTTTCAGTTGCTATGAGCTCTTTTTTTTTCTTGAAGCTGATAGTTTTTGTGGGTGTTTTGCCTGATTGATGCTTAGATCTGTGTTGTCGTGATCCACATATAATATATATAGATCTGTGTGTGTAATTACATAAATATGAAAATTGATAGGAATATTGTTTGAAGAGGGATCTGAGGGAGGAACCAGATTAGGGTTTCTCATCTCTCTGAATCAGAGTTTTGGTCAAATCCCTGTCATCTCTCTCTCTCTCTCTCTCTATGTCTCTCTGTGTGTGAATCAGAGAAAAAAAGCTGTATCATCTTCTCATCAGCCCATTCCGTCGTCCAGTCTCTTTTTCGCCAATCCTTAAGCAGCTTGTCATCTTTTTGTTTTTGCAGATTAGGGTTTGATAAAGTTAAGTTTTTTTTTCTTTAAAAAAACATTAGGGTTGATACATACATACATATATATATATATATGTATATAACACGTGTACATATGTTTGTATAGGGTAAGTCTTCTGAGACTTGTCAAACCTTCTCTCTAGTAAACATTATAAAAAGAGAAATTGGAGAGATCTTGATGATTCACTCCCTTCAAAATCAATGCATATATATACAAATTAATTACTTAAATATATATATTCCCAACAACTGTGTGTATGTGTATATATATTGCTTTCTGTTTTCTTGACAACATAATAACAGAGAACAATGATTAAGAAATCAGGATTCTGTTCTCGACCGTACTATTTTAGTATAATGAAATCTCAATTGGGATTTGCTAATCCTTACTTTCTGTTTAATCTCTAGTTTAATTTATTACTTTTGACCATTTTTATCACTCTTTTTCACAAAAAGCCTTCAAATGAGGTTCAATGAACGAATCTTATTGCAATCGCCATTTCATTATATTTTCTTTCGGAAAAAACATTTCATTTAATGGAAAATCCTCAACTTTTTCTTACACATAACCCATCAAACGATTTCCTAGTGATTCGCCTACACTATTTCTGCTTGCTGTATATATACATACACGCACACACACACATATATATATATATATATAATAGAGATGCATGGGTAGTATCTAATTGGATCTAACATTAGTTATTGCATTTTTCATGTTTATAAAGAGCTAAAAGACAAGAAAAAGAACCAAAGTTAGGCATATAGAACGGAACCAAGGGGCTGTGGCGTGTCGAGGCAAAAGCTTCTTAATCTTACAATCATCTCTTTTCCTCCACAGAGGAAGATAAACTTTCATTCTTTTGGGAACTGATAGATTAGGCCTCGAATTTCATGGCTTTCCTTTTCTCTTCATAAGAGATCTTATAGAGAGAGAAAACGATTACACGCACACACATATATATATATATATATATATATATATATATAATATGTGTATCTTATTAATATAACGTCGATTGAGAGAGACAAGTGAGAGAAATCAAAGGGTACGAGCCAATGGGAATCTCTCTGCATGCATTCTGTCACATAATTCATGCTTGATTTCAGCCGCTTCTCTTGCTCTCTCTCTTTTTAATTATAATGATGAAAGGATACACAATTCCCTTTTTTTCTTTGAAATTAGATTTGAGTAATAGGAACTATTCCTCACATTTTATTCCTCACTTACACTCATTGATTGGATTGTTTGATTATTTTTTTTTTAACTTAAAGGAGTGTTGATTAAGCTAAACCCTAAACCCTTGTGTGAAATCTAATTTAATTAGGAGCCAATTTTTACGGATTTAAACAGTCTGATATGAAAATGTCGTTTTGGGAAGATTTAGAAGCAATAGATGCAAGTCGGTTTCATAATTTTTTAAAAGGTTAGCTTTTTTAAATAAGGAATTGATATATACGTATTTTGATTTTTTTTTAATAAGGTTAGGTTTTATGTAATTAGGGTTTAGGGTTTTGAAAAAGAAGAGATCCAAAAGGATGAAAGAACATGTTACTCACATTCTTCCTTTTAACTAACCCTATACTTGATTTCTAAGTGTAAATAAGAGTTTAAATAAATCCAAGAATAAACACGTGTCTTGACATATAAATATTTAACTAACCCTATACTTAGTTAATAAGAGTACATTATTACCAAATTATTATTATTAAAAAAACATTTTTTTTTGTTTTCGATCTCATTCTGAGTTCCAAGATCGATCCCTTTGCTTGATTAATTCCCTTTTTTCTGAACGAAATTAAGTATTTTGAATTGTATATATTATATGCAATGTTCACGTTTTGCTATATTTATTTTCACGGCATTTCGATACGGCTCTTTGTAACCAAACCGAACCGAAAAATTTAGTATTTTTTTATTCTAACGTCCAAAATTCTCGAACGGTATTATTTTTAGAAATCTATTTTTTTTTGGTATCGAACCGAATCAAACCGATTTTACATATGATATAATAACCGATTGGTACATATTTTTGTAAGACCGGAAGAAACGAACCAACCACGGAAACGTCCACCCCTAATTTTCACCAAATTTTTAATGACACACAAAACATTGTTCTTCACAGTTTGGCAATGTAATCTTCTATAAATATATAAGGTCTATAAATTGAAAATTATGAAACTTCAAGTAATTCTAATTTTGTATACGACTGTTTAATATTTAGATTCCATCAATAGGTAATCGTCTGCCTTTTCATCAAATTAAATTTTTGTTTTTAAATCAAATTTAACTTTTAGACAGTAAAATGGTCCATTATTTTTTTTTTCTCAAAAACAAACGGTAAAAAGTAGACAGTAGAACTTGTGGTCTTGTTATTTATTACAAAGAGTCGGAAAACTAAATGCGTGAGTGACACGTGTCACAAATGGCCTGAGTTCTTTCTCGGACTATTTTAAGGTTTCCACACGAAAGCTCTTTTCGTTTGTTCCTAGGTTTTGCTTAATTGTTCTTCTTTCTTTATTCTTTTGTTGGTTTTGTATATATAATAATTATTTTATTATTTTCCACAATACGAGACTATTAAGTCTATTTATTCTATATTCGATTTTCTCTCTCTCTCTCTATATATATGTATATTTGTTTTAGACTGGAATAATGAGAAATTACAACTTAGATTATATTTTTATTTTTTTATTATTAGGAATTCCGAAGTGTTGTTAGCCTCATTAATATCTCCTATTAACAAAAAGAAAGAAAAAGAAACACTACTGTTACTTTATTTATTTAGTTTCGTTACACATGTCGATATAGTGATCAAGAATCCCCTTGAAATTGATGCTTTATATATATGAATAAAAATAAAATAAAATTTGTGAATGTATAATTGGGTTTGGTTGATGAGCAGTGTGAGAGGCACGATTGAAAGGTACAAGAAAGCCTCCTCTGACGCCGTCAATCCACCTTCCGTCAACGAAATCAATACCCAGGTTTTATTTTAACTAGTATTTGATATATGTATATATATATACAACGAAATATGCATATAAGTAATGATATATACATTTGTGGTGTGAAAATGGAATATACGATACGTATATATAGTACTATCAGCAAGAGGCGTCGAAGCTTCGTAGGCAGATTCGGGACATTCAGAACATGAACAGGTCGGTCTATATAGCTAATATCAAGAATTGCGTGTTACGCATGTAATGACATTCTTCTTCCATTCCATGAATCGTTTCCGGCTTTGTTTAATGATTAGGAACATTCTGGGCGAATCTCTCGGTTCATTGAACTTCAAGGATCTCAAGAACCTTGAATCGCGGCTGGAGAAAGGGATCGCCCGCATTCGTTCCAAGAAGGTTCTCATATACATACAAATATATATATATATATACACTGTATATACACACACATACACATATATATATATGTATGAGATCATCTCTGGTCTGATGACTGTTCGGCTGGATCTTGCCAGAACGAGCTGTTGTTGTCGGAGATAGAGTACATGCAGAAGAGGGTAACGTTTCTTCCTTCCCAAGTAACCATACAGTTTTCTGTTTCCTTTGCTTCAACGTTTCCCTCTCTATCTGCTTGCCCTCTTACAACGTTTGCGATGTTTCATGCAGGGAAACGAGCTGCAAAGCGAAACCTTTTTTCTCAGGGAGAAGGTTATCAACATTTTGTTTTTTTTCCTCCGAAATCTCGTCATCAACCCACCTCCTTTTTTCTTTTTCTTTGTTTAAAAAAAGAGAGAGAATTCAAGAGCAAATTCTTGGTTGGATTATGCAGATAGCAGAAAACGAGAGATTCCAGCAGGAGCAGGAGCAGCAGCAGCAGCAGCAAGGAGCGGTGTATGAGTCACATGAGTCGCAACAGTATAACCGGAGCTACATCCCGGTTAACCTCCTCGAGCCTAATCAGCAATTCTCCGGCCAGGACCAACCCCCTCTCCAGCTCGTCTAAGCCCTCATCCTCCCCCCTGAGACGATATATATATATATATATATTCATATATGTGTGCATGTATATCTCCCGGTTGGACAATGGAGAAGTAACATCCAGCTTTTGAATCTCCCACCTAACCTAATTAAGAGTCTTTATATCTGTTCTTCGAATCCTCTATCTAGAATTAATTCGTCGAAAAACTTAAAAGCAGAATGATGAATGGGAAACTGCATGTTCAAATATGATGAATCCTCTCTAGATATAGCAAATACAGTATACAATAATAATGTTATATATACGATATATAGAGCTACATACATGAGCATATATTCAGGCTACTTACTATTTATCTTCTAGGTCTCTTGTATATGGACATGGCGTATGAGTACAGAGGCTGAAGGCCTAAACCCTTCTTCCCTTCGTTCTCATACTTCATCGATCTGCTGCTCGGAATTCTCGATTCTTTTTTTTTTCTCCGTTTCTTATGTTGTTCTTAATGTGTATAAGAAGAAAAGGTAGGGCCTTTTTCCTTCATTAGCTCAGGATCTTGCACTTTCTGATGAAGCTATCCGAGGAATTTACATGTCGGTACCAGAGGGATCTTACCTCTGTGTTACTGATCTCGAGCCAGGGTTTTGCTGGGTTGCTGAAATGCAAAACGGCTGCAGATTCGATAACCTCTTTCGGGGTTTCTATGGATCGGGACCCTAGTCCAGCGACGTGCCATGATGGGTCAAGAGGGTATACGAAATCTTTGAAAGCGAGCAAAGCCGGTGGGAGAGCACCTGGTCGCCATAACTGCAGACCAGAACTCTGACTCTGCAGATTAAGTTGTATATGTGTTAGCATGACCGAAATTGCAACATTTTCGGTCATATTGGTGAAGGAAATGAGAGATACTCACGATTCTCAACGACATGAAGTAAGATTCTGTGATATTGGTGTGCCTCCAGGCTTCGAGATCGAATACATTCATACCCGACAGCCAAGCGCAGTGATCGGGGATGAAGCTTGATGAGATGAGAGGATGCGAGAAGTTGAAATAGTCTTTGTACGTTCTTCCGGGGCAACAGTTGTCTCCGCACCATGAATCGACAACTGCACCAACAACTTTACCGTTGAGACCCATTTCCCACAAAGATGAAATGTCTCGTTGTACTACTACATCATCATCCAACAACACTATCTTGTTGAGATCCGGAAAGAGCTGTTTGGTCCAAAAAAAAATCGAGATAATAAATAGATGTATTTGTAATTGCATATAAAGGTTTTTGTGGAAAAGCTTTGAGGTATTTACCTTGGGAATGTAGATGCGGAGATGATTCAGAAGGGATAGGCAACTAGGGCTTAGTGCTTGTAAGGATTGTTCATTGCCCTCCATGGAACTAAACCCGTCTTCTTTCAAGTTTTTGTAATGCCGCCTCCAAATCAAGCGATGAATCTCTAGCATCTCCTTCACTCTCATATTCACTTCCTCAGGCCAATCAAACTGATGAAGTCCCTTCACTTCGACAACTGGTGATGAAACAGAGTTGATGGCAAACCAAGCGTGCATCGGAGTATAAGTTTTCTTGTCAGTGACAATATGAAAGACGAACTTCTCGGGATTTACAGCATTTTCTATGGTAGAAGAGATGACGACAGAGGCAGCAAGAATATTATCGGTCAACATAACAACATGGTGAAGCGATGGATCAGTAAGGCGAGAGACAAACTCAGGTGGAGGCAAACGAGAACGAGCCATTGCATTTACAGAGTACTCTTCGGTTAGTCTAAGGGTAAGGCAATGGAGGCTCTTAGGAATACCGTGTGAGGCTAAATGCCAGTAAATCAACTCGTGCTGTTTTGCTGATTGGACTTTGCGTTCCATCTCCATCAGCTGAAGTTAACAGAGAGCATTGCATCAATATGAGTTAAGATGGGTAAGAAGAAGATAAAACTAGTTAACCTTCTCTTTCATTCTGTCGCTAAGCTGACAAATGCATATGTCAGGCCAGAAGAGAGCTTTCTCTGTTTCAAATATTGGAGTTATATCTCTGTTTTTGAAACATTAGATTCTAGTTTCAATGTGTCTTTACCCTCTTTCAGTGCTCACAATTCTAGAAGAGAATATCCATTTGCATTACTCAATAGAAGAAGATTTCTGCAGTTTTTTATTGTGCAGATTAAATGATCAATATATATATATATATATATCTCCGACAAACCGACATTATTCTTCTACTTAAATCTGGAGGCTCCAACACTAATAATCACAATTCAAGTGGAGCATCTAGTGTCACAAGTTCTGTCTCTTCAATTCAACTTGTAGTCTTCTCTCCGGCAGTCATTAGCTATGAAAGCAAAGCAAAGGATCCCAACTCTGAACTTTTAGCAACAATGCTGACCAAAATCCTATACTCATCAACCTGAATTCGTTTACTGATCCAGTTAACCATTTTACCCTGTTGCTTCTTTTGGTTTCTTAAATCAGTTTTCTTGAATTCTAGAACTATGCTTGGGGCCAAAAACCAAAGATATCAACACCAACAAACCAGCTACTTACCATTTTCTTAGTGACTGAAGCAAAGGCCCTGATATCACGACGTTTTGACGTCATCTCCTTGACAAGGTCATCGAATGACTCCAAGGTGCCCTCATTTCCTCTTCCATTGCCGTCATTATCTGTTTCTTCAACTAGCGCTCGTGTCAGCTCCTCCCCGACTTTCTGCATGAGCCAAAGAAAACTTAAGCTGTCACACTGTCTTGACGTCAAGTTATGTCACAAAGCGACAAATGATGAAAGAGAAAAGCTTTTAGCGCTACAGAGGAATGGAAAGCACAGTCTTTATTGGAATTTTGGGTTTGTCTCGTTTCTCTTTGTTCTTGTTCTTACGAATATTAGGTCAGACCAAGTGGAGGGTGTTTATCTGGTGGCATCAAAACCTGCCACATATTTGACAGACAACTGGTGGGAACTGCCACAGCTATATGTGTTCTGACATCTGTCCTAATCCATGAGACTCTGAAGAGGTTTTGTCCGGACTTCAATCCAATCCATTTAAGCTGACCCTCACTCAAATTCGATCGATGCGTATGACTAGCAACTACAGTATCTAAAGCATGTCATGTTCTATACACAGATGAAAAGATACCACTTTGTGGGCTCTTTTCGGACAGTTCCACATGCTAGTAACAATTCAAGACTGTTGCACCAGAAGAAAACAATCCAAGCCCTATCAAAATCACCCAGTTACCAAGGAAGATAAAAGAGGAGGAAAAAAAATCCATAAGCAAATTCCTTGACCCTTAACAGATTTACTTACTAAAAATATTAACGTAACAAAGATCCAAAGGCAACTATATAATTAAAAATCAAACTCAATTGAGGAGCTTAATCCTCTGTTTTCCTAAGCTCTTGAGAAGGACAGATCTCTACCCTCCTGGTCCACGAGGAGGCACATTCTGCTAAATGACACCAGCAGCACTAACGCAACACAGCTGGCAAAAGACTTCCTTTTTCGTACAACCATCTTTTTCTTTTTCCCTTAGCAGAAGTTTGGATAACTCCATAGCATTTTTGTGAATTATTAATCGAAATTTGATCGATACGATATCTTCACGTAAACCTGATCGATTGTCCAATGATGTGGAATCTTTTATGCAGATGATGAAAAGTCTTAATGAAGAAATCAATATTGTGATTGACTAATACGGGTACTTACCAGAGATGTGTCGCCCCCACGGAAGAGTCTCCATCCCATGCAGCCTGCGAATACATCAATCAGGAAAAAAAGTAAAATTAAAATCACACAAACAAGTAATTCACATGCTTAGTGTATCATATTCGCAAGCACAGTGTTTAAATTTGGGGAAATTTTGAATCCAATGATTTACGTGCGAAAAGCCCAGAAGAATTTGTTTCCGAACAATTTGAAGCTTAGTTTTTTGGTATAAATTTGAAGCTTAGTTGTTTACAAAAGATCGGAATGATGGTCCCAATTTCTTCCAGATTAATAATCGATATAAGTAACCAATCAGATATGTTTTTGAAGAATCCCAGAATATAAGAAACTCCCGAGATTGAAGGAGAAGTTACCAAATGGAGAATCGCAACCGGAGGCGGATTCGAGGACGAGAAACGCGATCCTGACGAAGAGAAAAGGGAGGACGATGGCGAGAAGCAGCAGCACCACCAGCATCGCCGTGCGACTAGGAAACCTCCTCACCGGCGCCGCCACTCCTCCCTTTCCGACTCCGGCGCCGGGGTTCGATATGGTGACTCTCTTAATCCCCGTCGCCGATATGTAAAACTTCATACCCTCACACTTTTCTCTCACTTTCTCTCAAGTTCCATCAATCTAAACACTCCGAATACGGCTCCCCTTTCCAGATCTCCGATCCTCCTGCCTTTTCTGCTTCACTTCCTCTCTCGCCGGGAAAAAGAAAAACAAAAACACGAATCGATCCGAGCTCAGTGATCTGAGAGGGAAAACGCAAACAAACGCATCCACGTTTGAAGACGATCGACGAACATCGAGGACTTCGAAGAGCCAACGGAGACTGGATTGATCCGTACAACGGAATCACGCTACATTCAAAACCAAGAGGAATTTCATAAATAAACCACAGGAAAAAAAAGGTTAATTCGTGTAATATTCGACCCCCCTTTTTTTTCCTCGGTCACGAGCTCACTAACGTTAACGATTTTTTAAAAATATTTCCATAATTAATAGATTAAATAAATAAATAAATAAAAACAAAAAAGCCAAAACCAAAACCGCGTTCAACTCCGGATTATCTTATTTGTGTATTTATTACCTATATGGTTCTGCCTATACATATTATAATACGGTGTGACAAAAAAAATTTATTATTTGATAATGGGATGACCGAAATAAACTTTATTATTGTCGAATAATATGAAACGGTCGAATTGTGTTATAGAAAGAAGAAAACGGAAGATTCAACTACAATTAAACTCTGTGTGTTGTTTTTCAAAATAGGGTCGTCATCATATATAATTGTGGGTAAAATGACAGAAATGACCTTTGTCACCGACACATATCTCTGGTGGCAATGGCGGCAATAGGCGAGGATCAAGTGCGGGAGAGCGCAGGGAAGTTACGGTACGCTGTATTTCATGGAAATGATTACCAAAAAGTCTCCATTGGTAGTAGCACCAAAAAGCCTATAGGGATCTAATTATTAATAATTATCATCATATGGGACCTTTTTGAACGACATTAATTGATTAAAACGCACACATATAATTTATAATTATTTCATTTTGAATGTTAAACATGTAATTACCTACTCGGTTATGCTTTTCCATTAGCCCAATTTTTTCAATTGAAATAAATATAGAAACAAAGCCGGACGTTTTTTTTTTATAACAGAACGTCCTGGATCGAAATCCAGACTAATCTCCGGACCGGGAGCAAACTATGTGCTTTGAAATATTCGTTTTCCTCCCCCCACCATAGGACTCAAATTTGGGGCGGGACAAATGTTTTGCATCCCATTTCACCAGTTGAGCTACCCATGATGGATACAAAGCCACACGTTTTATGTTCATTTCAATCGCTTTTCATTTTGGTCGGTGACGGATTTGCATTTGAATTGTTGTGTGTGTATATATGCAACGTTCTATTTTCTTGCTAAATGATTTCATGGGTCCACAATTTTTAATTTTGGTTAATCGTATGAAGTTTTAATATGCAACCATGAAAATTATATCACTTGTATCATAGATGTGTAGCGTGTAACTCTCACAAAACACACAACCATTTAAAAAGTTATATAAATTTGGGATTATATTTGATGCATATTTATTGGTTTAGTTTGGTAAAATTATTGGCATAGTCATGATTTGTTGTTATGTTATTATATTATTTAGAAAAATCACACGTTAATACATTAATGCACAAACGCGTAAAAACAATCTCCAATAAATATAGAACTTTAAAAAATTTCTAAAAAATAAAATAAAAAATCTTAATTTCTACATTCAAAAGTAAATTTTTAAACAATTTTTAAAAATCGTTATATCACGGCAGTATTTGGAAGTAGTTTAAGATATTAGGATTTAATTTTATGGTGGATTTTGAAAATCATTTAAAATTATAATTTATTTTCATTGTTTTTAAAAAGTTTTGGGGTAAGAGTTATGGAAAATTTATGTATTTATTTGAAAATTTTAACTTGATGTATTAATTTATGATTTTTTTAGTTATGTATTAATATACTATTTTCGTATTAATTATTTATGATTAAAACTATTTGATTTTCTTTTTTGATTAAAAAACTATTTGATTTTTCATTTTTAATATACAAGATAAGTGAAACCAAATCTGATAGGAGCCAAGTTATGGAAGCATGAACAACATCCTCTTAACGGACAACAATTTTAATTACACGTGGATACACTACAAGAAAATTCTCGTATAGCTACAGAATTTGCGACAGAATATTCCGTCGCATACAAAATTACAACAGAATACGACGGGTTTGTGACAGAAATCGGAAAAAAATTTATGTCGCGAACAGTCGTAAAATCTGTCGAAATTTTGCGACGGAATGCGACGAATACATTTCCGTCGCAACAACAAAAGTAATTTGCGACAGAAAATATAAAATATATCAGAATTTGCGACAGATTGCGACATATATATCTGTAGCAACTATTTATTTTAATTATATTATTTATTTTTTTTGAATTTACTACAGATTTGCGACAGACGTTTCTGTATCAAATATTATTTTAAATTTATTTTATTTATTTTAGAACTTGTGACAGAATTTGCGACAGAAAATTCTGTCACAAATTCTAATTTCATTTTTTCGTTATTTTCGATGAAAAATTTCAAATTTTCACGGTTTATTTTTTGTTTTGCGACGAAAATTTCCGTCGCAACACTTAATAAAAGTCGGACTTCGTCTTTCTCCTCCAGTCTTCAAAACTTTAAGAAAAAAACTCAATCTTCTCCAATATTCTCCATTGTTTTTCTTCAAAATTCGTCAAGGTATATGCATATATATCGTGTATATGTGAATAAATGTGTATATGTGTGTGTTGTGTATATATATGTGAATGTGAATATGTGTATATGTATGTGTATGTGTATATGTATGTGTATGTGTATGTGTATGTGTATGTGTATGTGTATGTGTATGTATACGTGTATGTGAATGTGTATGGGGGTTTTATCAAAAATACCCCTATTATGCTACAAAGGCTTCAGTGCCTACCCATTGACGTAGGTCTCCAATTGCAGAAACATTAATGAGAAGAGAGAGAACATCAGTTTTCGATTTCCTATGAAAAAATTTAAATATTTTAAAAATTTTAAAATTCACTCCATCACAAAAATATAAATTTTTTCGCGTGATTTTAAAAAATTTTCGGTGTGACCAGTGTGACTAGTGTAACCAAACTAAATTTTGAACGGTGTGACCAGTGGGACTAGTGTGACCAATATGACCAGTACGACCAAAATTAAATTTTAAACGGTGTAACCAATGTGACGTACCTTTGTTTTTGTTGTCAATCCGTTCCATTATGCGCCTCTTGCATATTCTTCGACAGATTTGTTATGCATCTGTCTCATTTTCATCAAAAACCACACGATTCACTTTAAAAATCATAAAACTCAAACTCAAAACACAAAGTTTATGTTTCGAACCAATCTTTTGTATTAATGAACTTACCTTCAGTTTTTGTCATTTGTTCTGGCTTAGACCGACACACAAAGAAGAAGATATAAGGTCGGCGATGAAGATATGTTCAACGAAATAATCATTTTTCGTTTGTTTTTCTGTGTAAAAATGAAATGAGAAAGAGAAAAATGGAAGAGTTGAGAGAAAGATAACAGTAGAGAGAGAAAGTAAAAAAAATGGAGAGTTATCAAAGTGTGGGAACGAGAGACATGAATTCAAAATGACTAAGTAAGTGGGAGAAGTGTATCACGTTACTTTTTTGAAAGGTTAATTATGTCTTTTGTTCTTTTTATTTTTTTTCTAAATTTTAGGGTTTTGAAGGGTATGTCATGAAGTCTTTGTAGCAAAATGAGAGTATTTTTGCTATATTGCCATGTGTATGTGTTTATGTATATATACGTGTATGTGTGTATTTATGTATATGTGTTGTGTATGTATGTGAATGTGAATGTGTATGTATATATATAAATGTGTATGTGTGTTTATATGATGTGTATGTGAATATATATATGTATGTGTATGTGTATATGTGTGAATATGTATGAATGTGTGTTTATATATGTGTGTAATATATATGTACATGTGTATATATATGTATGTTTATGTATGTGTATGTAAATTTATATGTGTATGAGTGTGTGTTTATGTATGTGTGTATGTGTATATGTATGTGTATATATATGTATGTGTGTAAATTTATATGTGTATGAATGTGTGTTTATGTATGTGTGTATGTGTGTATATATATGTGTATGTAAATGTATATATGTATGTGTATGTGTATATATATATATTTATATAAATTATGTGTATATGTATAATGTATGAGTATATGTGTAATACATGTGTATGTAATATATGTATATGTATAATATATTATTTTTTATATTTTTTTAAATTAAAAAAATAAATCTGTCGCAAAACGTAGATTTTTTTATTTTTTAAAAAAAAATTTAAAAATTGTTTATTTTTTTGTTCGCAAAACGCAAATTTTTTCTGTCGCAACATTGCGACAGATTAACGACCGGTAAACTTTTGCGACAACGATATACGGACCGAAATTATTCGGTCGCTTTCTTGTCGCAAATTTGTAATTGCGACGGATTTTATTGATGTTTGCGACGGATTTTTCCGTCACAAATTTGAATGTTTTTTTTGTAGTGATATGCAACCAATACGGACAACATTGAGACCTCTTATAACCAGATTCGTACGGCACATGGCTACATTATAGGGAAAAAAATCAATCTTTTTTTCAATGTTCATGCATATATATATTTTTTTCATGGGTGATTTAGATTTTTTAAAATGTATATTATGACATAGTAATTATTATTTTTGGTCTTATTAGTTTTATGGGCAAAAGAAATGCTAAAGTAATCATTTATTTGATTCAATTTTATTATATTTTATTCTTATGTAAATGTGGAATAAAGACATGTTTCTTATATGGATCAAGTCTAATTTGTAACGACGGACCACATGTACTGTACTTCCCAAACAACGGAAAACGCGCGAGAAGAAGCGGTCCCTACACAAAAACGGCAGGAACTTTGCTTTATCGCTAAACGGAGCGGTGTTTCGAGGTCGACCGAGCGACGCAGCAGTAACAGCTGGTTTTTTAAAACGGCACGGTGTTTCCAAGTCGTGTGCTTACGGTCGAAGTGAAGGTTTTTTTTTCAGGTCTTCGGACTGGTCGGATCCAGGGATCATCTCTCTTCTTCTCGTTCTTCTCCGGTGAGTGTTGACTTGTCTGATCTTCGCTGTTTACTAATTTGTCGGCATTAGCCCCTGTTTGGATGCCGAGAAAATCCATGACTTGGAATTTGATTTCCCGTTCCAGTATTCTTTCCCTGTGTGAGTTTTTGCCTTCTGGGTAGCATTTGCATGGACTATGCTGAATTTCCTTTGATGGGTTTGTTTGTTTTGCTGTTTTGTGTCTGAATAATATCTGTAATTTGGCTTCAGCGTCTATTTTCGTTGAGCGATTGATTCCGAACAAGTTACATGACATGGGCTCTATATGTGTGATTTAATGTCAGAATTGCATACGGGACTTGTCTCAGGATTCAGGAATGTCTCTACTGAGAAAAGGATGACCACTAATTGTCTTCTTGCTTGATTCATTCTTACAGAGATTGAAGCATCTGAGGCATACGCTTTTGCTGTATTGGTTTCAGACATTCATTGGGTTTTGGGGTTTTACCTTTTGCCCTTTCGCGGCAATGTTGAAGCGTGGTAACAGAGTGAACGGGTCATGTGGGCCTCAAACCTACAAATTAGCACTTCTCATGCTTGTCGGGGTCTTTGGCATTGCAGTTTGGTTGCTTTGTTTTAGTGGCAAGAACCAGGGCACAAAATTTCCACTGCCAAAGCAGATTTCGAGCAGTATCAAGCCCCGGTTACAGTTTCATCCAACTGTTGAATTTCAGAATGGCACAGATGTCATATGGCAAATACCAAGCTCACCAAAGGCGGTTCTATTTATTGCTCACGGGTGCCAGAGAAGGGCTACCGACTTTTGGGATAGATCTCTCGAGTGCCCTAAATGTATCGGTCTCCCAGAGGAGACGGTGCTTGTCCTCCACGCTCTGGCTCGCAAATTTGCAGTTATAGCTGTATCTAGTGCTGGAAGATGCTGGACATTTGGTGAGGAGAGATTGATTGTCCAAAACATAATATCAACATGGGTTAGTAGGCACAAGCTTGAAAGGCTTCCTCTTGTTGCTTTAGGGGCTTCTTCGGGTGGTTACTTTGTCTCTGCCCTCGCCACAGACATGCGGTTCAGTAGCATTGTGCTTATGATTGCAGAAGGGGTCTTTGATCGAATTAGTATCACAAAACGTTATCCACCGACCTTTTTTGTTCACATGCCCAAAGATGTACACAGACAACAAAAGATAAGAGAATATAGAGATGGTCTTGAAATGCAAGGCATTGATGTTGAAGAGATTGAATGCTTGGACTTGCCACTTTCCCCAAATTTCTTGGCCGATAGGATACGTGGTGTTGATCAGGTTATATCTGCCAAGTTGTTCAAGGTGTTTCAAGAAAAGGGATTTATCGACGAGAAGGGATACATGAGGCGTGATGGGCGGAGAACACGTTGGAAAGAAGCTCTCCATGACTACAAAATCTCTCTGGATAAAAGTTTGTTTACCCATGTCGAAGAAGAGCTAAATCTTGCGTTTGCGTATCATGAAATGACAAGCTTGCAGTCTGAACAGATCTTTAAATGGTTTGAATCACATATGAGCTGAGGAGCTTTCACTTTTCATGTAACAAAAAATCTCTCTCTGTGGGAAGAGACGTGTGTAATGACTGGACTGCGGTGTCGAGTCTGCTATTTTTTCGTTGATTGTAGTCTCTACAATGAGAATCAAGAAAGACAGTTTTGATTTCTTTAACCGATTTTTAAAGCCAGGGCAGTTAAGCATGCAACAAATCTGTTCTGTAAGGAAATGCTTGGTGTCTCCAAGTGAAATTTCTTGTCCGAGGACTTCTGGCCAAATGGTTGAGACATCTTGCAATAGAGAACCTTTGTTTCTCTGCCTATCATTCATTTTGCAGGTCAGTACCCTGAATTGGCAAAATTTTCTCCACTTAACCGCCGTTGTACTTACATGAAGACAGGACATGTTTCTCTTACAAGGTTGATCGATGACAAATCCAGAGTGGAGGACGCTTTCAAACTCCATGGTATGTCTTTACATTTTCCTTTATATTATAGGTTTCTCAGATTTGTACATTCTTGACATACACAATACCTTCCGCTGGATTTGAATCAGCATTACTCGTATTATTACCGGGGATGTCCCTACACTTATAAAGATCGTGTTTTTTCTAACACGACCATGACCACCAACTCTATATTATGTCATAGTAAATGCCATTTCTGACATTAATAAACAGTCATGTAAGATGTTAGTGGTGAGTCGGTAGGATCTTAAATGCATGTTCACCATCTTTCAGCATTTACTCCACAGTTAATTAGAACCATAACACGCCACCTTAGTCACCACCACCACCCCTCTGGTACTGTTCTCCATCAATGCTTATGGTGTTTGGTCTTTCTTCTCTTTCCTCGTGGATTTGTCTTTTTGTGTGGCGGTTTTGCCTGGCTAAGGAATTAAATTGGTCATGTTCGGACATAATGAAGCAATTTATTATGACATTATGCTGGTCTATTGAGGCATGTCAGTCTACATCTAGGCTTTGACTTTGTGTGAACCTTGTTCTGTGAAGTAATGTTTGGTTCTTGTTTTCACCAAGTCTGTGTCTTTAGTAATGGTTTGTTTGGGTTCTGTCTGCCTTGTCTGTCTTGGTTAACTGATTTACTAGCTGAACTAGGTGCTTCAATGTACTACTAACGTTATGCATGGTGTTCAAGTCCTCCATTTCTGGATTCTCTTGAGCAGGGCATACATTATGATTGGGAGGATGACAGGAAACTGATAAACCAGAACTAGTAATCTTATTACAGTGCAAGATAACTTGAAAACATAAACATCTAATATAAGGAGTGTCCATATCAAATATCATAATATGCTATAAAATACTTCAAACTCAAAGTGGTTCACACGCGCGCGCACACACATACACACTCTCACACAGGAAGATAATTAGAATGCTTTAAGAAATAAACAGGCCATTTGAGAAATGAAACATTTTCTTCCTCTTTTCTTTTTCAGGATCTGGGCTTTAGGTGACCTTCATTTGCAAGCTTGAAGGTGTGAGCTTGTGTTGCAGCAGCCTTGTTCGAAGATAAAGCTCTCACAAAGTTATCCCTGACTTGAGTGGTTGTGAAAGGGAACCTGTTGTTCACCATGGAGTTGAGCCAGGAGGCAGTCCCTTCTCGGTAGAGCGCTCCATACCCGTCGGTGTGGGCGTTGGAAAGTGCCTGAAGAAGGTTCATGTTCGACGAAAACCCTGGAGCAGTGGTGCCTCCAAAGACTCCTCCCACGGTGCCCCACCAGCCAAGCAACCCCCATATCAGGGTCGGGTGATTCCTCCAGTAACTGTACACAAATAAGAAACTTCATGTGTCGAAATGTCTGTCATAATATGCTGCATTATCACAAAGGCCATTGTCACTTACTCGCATGTTCCAGTGATCGGGGGCAAGGGAGCAGGGTAGAACGGAGTTCCAGGGGTTCCCGGGTCGATGATGGGAGTTGTCGGAGGACTTACAACAACGGGCGTAGGAGGAGTCACAACCACGGGAGTGGTGGGAGGGGTACTACCGCCTCCGTAAGGTGGAGGGGACGTGTAGTATCCACCGGAAGGAGGGGTTGAAGGATGTGAAGGGCTCGGTTCATGTGGTGGGTTTCCACAGTTTGAAGGAGGGTTTGATGGAGTTGAAGGAGTTGGAGTGTAGCCTCCTCCGTGAGATGGGGATGGAGTTGAAGGAGTTGGAGTGTAGCCTCCTCCGTGAGACGGGGTTCCATGAGACGGGGTTCCATGAGAGGGTGATGGGGTAGTTCCATGGGACGGAGATCCATGTGAACCTGCAAATGCAAACCCAAATATGATTTCTAAGAGTATAATGACAGAGAAGTGACACTTGGTGGAAAAAATGGGTGAAGTTTAAGTGTACCTGAGGGAGGAGTTCCTGCATGTGGGTCGGGGGAGTAGTAGTGCTTGTCATCCGAGTAGCTAATGGACAAGACAGGAACAAGCAGTTGCTGTAAGAGCAATGCAACAGCCAAGATCCAGACAGGGATGGTGCCTTCCATTCTCTTAAACTCCAAGAACAGAGAGAGAGAGGAACTTGGGAGAGTTTGATGTGCTGTCTTTGGAGGCAATGGAGCAGTGATTATAAAGAGGGAGGGAAAATGACGAGTAAATACAAACAGGTGGAGGAGTGTGTGGTTAGTTGATGTGTTGCAGGTGCATTTACACGATGCCATTTAATGGGGGGAGCTCTTTCTTCGAAAATGATTCTTAAAATCCATTTATTGTATATTGTATGCAAATGCATATGGACTCTTATGAAGCTGTCTTCCATGTTCATCTCTCCTATGCATTGCATTGTTTGAACAATCTTGTCTTTAATAATACATATCATCATAATCACCTTTTTTGTTCAAAGCAAATTAAGTTCTTGTTCATTATCATATATATATATATATATATAATATAATCACCCTTTTATTACTTCGATGTGGTTACAAGGCGAAGACGGTTTGTAGCATATATAT